TTCACTTGCTTCCCAGGCTGGCAACCAGGCAGCAATCAGGATCAAAGTCTTTTTAAGTTGTGAAGATCACTGCCCATAGGGGGCGAATCGTGGACTCATCCCGTGGGGCAACAGGGAGTTTGAGATTTGAGAGGCCCAGTTGGTGGATCATCGGTTTCAACAATTTCAAGCTGTCACAGGTCTGTCGACCTCCCGTCTGATCGACCCTAAACCCTAAATCCTAAACCCTAAACCCTTAACCCCGGTGCCAGGGTGTCCGACTAACAATGCCTGTCATCAGCCTAGCCATGAACATGAATCCGACTAGGCCAAACTGCAGGGATTACAGAATATATTGGGGTATATATTAGGCTAGGGTTATATTGGGGTGATCTTGGGATAATGGAAAGGAAAATGGAAACTATTAGAGTATATTGGGGTTATATATAATAAAGAAAATGGAACTCACCATGAACAGTACTGAGGTCCCTCCAGTGCCGCACATCTATCTACCAATTGGCTACCATTTGCCCAGCACATTATTGGTGCTGCTATCATACTCTTTCTCGAGCGGCACCACGTTCTTAAATTTTGCCCCGTGACACCAATAAGGGCTCCTGACTATTTGGAAACCTCAAAATACACTAAATCTGTCCCATCTAATAACGCCGAACCACAAGACCTTCAGCGTGCATCCTCGTCCCCAACTTCAGGGCAAAACATCTGCAAAGGTGCCCGCAGGAAATCCTGTTGCAGTCAGAAAGCCACCAAAAGGGTTCAACTCACAGTCTGCGTGCTCTGAAAAGGAATGCGGCATATACCGGGATCCATCAGCCTCTCCAATGCTTCAGCCTGTACCCCCTGCCTGGAACTTCTTCCGTGATGCCTGCGCGAGGGACTCGAGATCAAGAGAAGGTGAGGTGATGCTTCGATAGATTTCTGTTGTCATGAGGTTGCGTACACTCAGCGGAGAGTTAGCGGAGAGATGGCCTGAACACGCACTAAGGTAAGCTGTCTAAAGGGACACTTGCGGCATGTCATTCACAGCAACCCTGGCTGCTATTGCCGAGCTTAACGACATAATGGTCATGGTGACATATAAAATCATATCAAGTATGCTTGGATTCTTTGATTGTCTCAGCCATCCTCAGCTTCTACCTCTGAGCTCTAAGCTTCAAGCTGCCTTGACCGCTCTCAGCAACGGCCTCGCCTCATGGCATCCTAAACTTACACGATCTTTCCAAGGACTCCTGCAGAGGACCCTGCATCCTGTGCACAGTCCACGCACAGCACACAGCAAGGCCTCGTGAAGGTTCGCACCCAGGGACCAGATGGCTGAGAAAGCGCAGTATATTCGAGCCAGGACCTGCCCGCGTAAGTCAACACATTGCGCATGAGAAATGCCCCTTCCAAGTGATGGTATGTAGCTAGACTCCCTTTGCCGGCAACGGAACGGTCGAAACATAAGAAGACGTGCTGTCGGCTGATTCACGTGCACTCTTGACTTTGGCAGAGAGACGGGGCGGGAGCGCTGGGATTACGCAGCACAAGATCTGAGATCCGGAGCCCCAAGCAAGCCTTGCTCTTCAGCCTGAGACTGTTCTATTCCCAACGGCCAAGCCTGTATCCCCTCCCTACCTTGGCATCCCTGAAACTCTTACAGAGGAGGATCCTCAAAAAGAACCACGCAACAAAGTGTTGGCCGTCTTGCACCAACCTAAGCTTCTTGTTGAGCCTTCTCGTGCTTGCTCTCTGCCTGCGTGGCCTTGCCTTCACGCCCCTCCTGTCCCGAAACAAAGATTCACGAAAGCCAGGTTGGAAGATCTACAATCTACAGGCATCTACTAAATCCACGGTCAAAACGCGTACAGTACAGAGTTCTTCGATTTTTCACGGATTCGGGGGTGCTTAGCGTGGCAGATGGGTTCGCGAAGCAAAACAAGGCTGCCTCTCACCATGATAGGTCCTTAGCTAGATCATGGAACTCACGTATGGTACTTAAGAACTGTTCTCATTGGTTCAGGGCTTGCTTGAGTGTATGCACTCTTGGGGGGAAGGCGTTAACAAGGCGTCAAGGTTTGCATGCTTCATGTTCAGTAGGAATCGCTTCCCTGCAATGCTACACAAGATCCGTCTTCAGTGTGTTCAGGGAGCAGCGTCAGGGTAAGGATAAGCTAAACAAGGAGGGATAGTATGGGTTTGGGCTTCCAAGAAGCGCAACAATCCTTTCGGCTCTGGTTCCAGGCATAAAGAAACAAAACAAGAACAAGCCAGTCCCGGCACCAACACAGCTGAACCTTCAGCACCCTCCCAAATGCTCCTCGAGCTTGAAGCCACGCTGTGGAGAGATGAAGGTTGTAAGCATCTTCAGGAAGGAGGCGACCTAGGCTGACAGCTTTGAAGGCTGAGCATTTGAACCAGGGCTGCAACCTCTACAACTGCTCCTCCACAATCCCTGCGTCACTCCATGATACCCCCATGGCCGATAGACTGGGAAGATTGAACACAATGTCCAGCACAATCTCCACAATCCCCTGGATGAGACTGTTTGCTCTGCACTTGGGACAAACCGTAGTGATCTGCTTCTTGCCACTCCCAACAACCGCGAGCAGATGACGCTGTGATGAAACATTATTGGCATGGCGCTTTGCTTCGAAGATTTTGAGCAAGGATCTTAATGCAGAACTCACAAGGACGCTGAACTCAGCGGTTTTTTCAGGGAGCATCAATAAACAATGGAGTCGCATGTGCTCCCGGTACCACCTTTGACAGAAAACATGTCCCATGTAGGGCAAGGAACCAGGTTGGTGTCCACCGAAGGTATGCCAGGAGCTTCCTTGCACTCCTGACAGGACATTTTCTGATGGTTAATGCCTTGATGCGAAGTCCGCAAATGCGGACTGTCATGCCTTGAGTTCACCTTTCTGGTCCACATTCTTCGAAGCTTCTATCAATAGTTAGATGCTTCTGGGATTTCCGTCGCTTCCAGGATTCACAGGTTGAAGGCTGCGCTTCAGCAACGTGATGCAAGTGCTACAGAGTTGAGGAGGCACAAACAGCTCTAGCTGTAACTTCTCTTGGATTTTGAGGGAGCATGGTCGATCTGTTGTTGATCATTATAGACCCCCGACTTGCACGCCTCAACGCGCCTCGCGCAGGAAGGGCAGGGCCTTGTCGCAGAGATCGATGACCCACTTCTTGAGCGTCTCACTATGGCTGGGATACCTGTGCAAGTTGGGCGTTGGACATTCCATCACGTTGGCAAGCGGCAAACTTGTGCTGCCCAACGTTCAATGGAGTCTGCAAAAGGCATAACAAGGCTGCAGTCGACGGCCATGTGAAGGCATCAAGCTGAGGGAGCCCGAGCTATCCAAATCACTGGCTACACTCTGGTTAAGGCCCTCTGTCTCTTGTACCCCACTCAGGTTACGCAGTACGTTCAAGCAACTGACAACTGCCCATTTCAATTATCGCTTCTAATAGCTCTCGTGTGTCGCACTTCTTCTTGAAGTTCTCTGCCCAGCTCCTGAGATGATGTGCAAGTGCAGACCATCAAACGGCACTTGATAATGCCATGTCTCTTGTGCGTATGGCACGGGCTGCCAAAGGCAGCGCACCGCATATCAAGAAAATAAAGGAGTAACCTGACTTTGCCCAACCATCACGGTCAAAATCATCCTCGAACCCAATCAAAGCCAAGCTTGCCCAAGGCTCTGGACCAAAGGCTTCCAACCAAGATGGACAGGCTCCAGGTACACCTTGACTGGGATAGAGATGAGTTTGGGCCTCTCTCGCTCTATCACTTTCCCTGCTGTTCATAAGTTTGGTTGCTGGTGCATGCGTTGCAGAGTTGCGATTACACTCACTTTTGAAGCGTCTTCAAGACAATCTGGGGAGGAGTGGAACCTGTAGTGGAGCTGGGATGAACTGCTCTGAATCCGGATGAAGCCAACAGGCAGAGTCTAGGCAACCGGCCATGCCACAACGGCTGACGGTAGCTGGAGAGGCCACCTTTGGGACATCAAGTGATCGTAATGAGTAGCAATCAGCTGCCTCAATGTCTCTCCGGCGGCGTGGCTTGAATCATCTTGAATCAAAAGTTGTCAAAGTTGTGACTGCTGGTCTCTTCTTTGGCTGATGCCGCGACGTTGCAGTGGAACCCGCGCCTTTAGGTCAGCCACCTCAAAGAGCATGGTCATGGTAGGCGGGAGCCTTAAGCGCGCATCTTGCGGATTTACAGGTCCACCCCTCCGATTGCGGTGATGACTCTGACATGTACACCTCTTGTTCTGGCGGCATGCTCTCAAACTGTTGCTTCAAAAAGGAAATGATGTCAACGTTTCTTCGCTCAATCGATGTCTGACGAGTTCTGTTGTCCAGTCTACCGTCAAAAGCCGTGACAGCTCATCAGTGCTTCAAAAACTGGAGCACGAGAGCGCTTGCTTTGCTCAGAATAACCTCTGACCACGCGTGACAGTAGAAGCGAAGAAGGCGCGCAGCAGACTTGCCATACCATCAGGTCATCGGGTGCGATTTGGTCCTTGACCTACCTTCAGGGCTGTGAGCCTCTAGCTGTGCTTTCTATGCCCTGAGCAGACACGCGAGCCCACCGAGAGCTGCCAGAGCCGTCCCATGAGACGCGGCGCTCCTCGGAAACAACAGACGCCTGCTCTTCTCCAAATGATTCGACAAGCAGTAAGCCATGAGCTGACTCTTCCTGATGTAGCAATCTACATGACGTAGATGCCTCAAGTCCTGCATGGGCCTTAAGCCATAAGCACACGCAGCCTAACTCGAGTGCAGGAAGAAAGCCACTGAGCCTCCCAGAGGAGAAAGCCCCCCGATTCTCAAATCTGTCGAGTTTCTTCACTCCTGGAGGAGACGTGGGACTGGCTTTGATGCCAGCCTGAGGCTAACATTTCCGCGTCAGATCTTTCTTTTCTACACCGACTGCGCTCAGCACACCGAGCGGCCAGAGCCCACATCGTTGCCAAGGCGTAGCCGACACCGAAACCCTGCACTGGCTTCCCGCCAAGTACAGAAGAGGCGAAGAGACTGTAGAAGGACCTGGGTTGAGCCCAGTAACTGCGTGTGCTGGGGCTGCTACAGCAGATGAAGTCACGAGGCGTCCGAGGCGTGAATACTGAATACTTATTGCGTTGAATATCTGATGTGCAGGACTGCAGGAAGCCTAGCTCTTGAAAAGGTCATGGTGATCATAGAGAGGCGAGGGGCACGGCGTAGACCAAGCCATTGCTGAACATCGGAGAGATCCGGCTACCTGCATTGCACAAGGTTGAGCCACAATGTCTGTCATGGGATTGATTCTAGGAAACGACTTTTGTTGACTGCTAGCTGCTAGCGGCTAGGGGTGCTGGAGTTGCTGCAGGCTGGAAAGTGTCTATTGAATTCAATGGAAAGATACAAGAAGCATGCCATGAGCTGCGAATCTAAGATGTGACGGCGATACTGCGGACGAAGGAGGAGCTTGCCTGATGGGAAGAGGTCAAGGGCCTGCCAAATGCCAATACCGGTGGCTGCAGCAAGCCAGCCGGCGTTCAGACCTCCACAAGCGAAGCCAAGCAGCCATGGGATCGGGCGCTTATACTGCTTCTGTTGCAAAGGTAACACCAAAGGAACACTTCACACAAATGCAGCATTTGTGGGACGCGCTCCAAGCCGAGGTATGGCAAAGGACTTAAGGTAGCGGGTGAGTATAAGAATGACAACACTTAACTTATGATGCCAGCTGCAACACCATTTTCATGATGTCGTCGTAGCACACAACATAAAAGCAACATCATCGCAAGACAGACAGGAACGGCCAGACTGATTCGACAAGATCAGTAATCATCTAGTTTTGGCCGTCCTGAAGCAAAGTCGATGGCCACACATCGGAGCCAGGATCCTGTCAGGAATGGACAGGCAGCACCAGCTCCAGAACAAGGAACTTAAAGATGTTGAAGCACTTTCATATTACGGGCACTCCGGATGAAACAGATATACGCTCATTTCCACCTTCCTGAAAGCCAGGCTACGAACTCCATCGTTCTCAGCATAAACAGCATTGACTTTCGAGACGTACGAAACAGTCCATCCCACACACGCCCTGCAGGTAGTGTACTTACCACCTTCAGTCAGCAGAAAACTATGCCTTCCAAAGATCCAGTAAGCACTACGCGTTGCATCGTTTGAGCGAGCTTTCTAGTGACTTATATGTGAGGGGCTGGAACGACAGCTAGGTCAGGTGCCGGCAGAGGGCTTGCAGACACGCGTGCTCTGAGAAGCCCTCGCAAAATCTTTTTCTCCTTCTGGAAACAACTCCGCAGAAGCCTCCTTGTCTCTCTCTCTCTCTCTCGCTCACTCCCGGCTCGCGGACGCAATGCATCCACTGCGGACACTAGCATATGTAGTCTTAAAGATTCATCAGTAAAAGCTCTTCGCGTGCTCTTCTTTGCAACGGAACGAGGCCTGAAACACCTCCAAGCGCCTCCTAGTAAACATCGAAAAAAAAACACGCAGAACAAAAACCTCAGCGCAAAATTGCCAGCCAGCAGGGGTGACTCCACCAAGCCCCCTGTTGCAAGCGATTCACTGAAAAGAAATTCGGCTATGCCGGGAGCCTAGCTTTCGTTCTGAAGCCTGGTCGTAATTTTGGAACCCCTGGCTGCCACTTGCTGCGTGCTTCTCCCCAACATGCGACTGATTCGAGCGGTAAACATGAACCACAGAAGAAAACTTTGTCCAGGGACGTCTACGTCTCAAACACGAGCATGCTTCCCAGAACTAGAGGCGCCCCCTTATGTCCCCAACATGTTCCCAAAACAACGAATCTTTCCCTTTGTTCGGCCCCAAGAAGGTCGCGCGATTTTCGGAAAATCCATCGTAACTTCCGTGAAGCCGGCCTTCGTCGTCCCCACTTCGCCGCAGCCGCGCTGCTGTGTTGAGCATCGAGCACTGGGCGGCGACCAAGCAACAGGCCTGTCAAGGCTGGAGGCTGCCATGTTAGTCACCCGAGGAAAACCCACTCTGCGAAGCCTGGCTCGACGCGCAGACCCTACACTCATTGCCCTTACACATTAAGATACATTAGGTAATGTGAGGTCGGAGCACTGCTGAGCTTTTCATACTTAGTTCTTCACCTGAGGGAGGGGCGCAGGAGAGCAGCACGCTGAAACAGCCAGCGCGTGCATTTTGGGCAGAGTCTGCCGGCATCCTGTGGCGCAAGCAAAGTGAGCTGCGTTAGTATACCTTTGGCGGGTAATGCGGCAAAACCATTCTGAGTATGCATTTTGCCACAAGCTGCGAGGAACCAGGGATAACCAGGGTGTGCAGCGCAAAGACTGCGAACCATAATCACACGATTCGTCAGCATTCGCGGCACTTGGAAAGGCAAGTGGCTCGGACGGAAGCCGCACGAAGCTCAGCTGCCACGAGTTTTCCTTGGGCCCGCTTGGATTTTGTAGCTCCGCAGATTGATTCGATGTTTGTCTCGTATGATGAACTTCATCTGCCTCACTACCTCAGTGGCGCACACGACCTTTGAAACCAGGCTGGAGCGGGGAGGGAAAAAGTACACCATCGTGAGGAAAGATTGGCTTCTCTAACACCTTTTGGGAGCCAAAGCCTAGCATGGGAGTGCATCTGGCCGAGCCGCGAACATCCAGGTGGCAAACCAAGAAGGTATGACTGCTTTGGCAACCTGCAGAGGCAACAGTACCCACCTCCTAAATCTCAGCACGCGGTCACCTGGCCTTCACTTCTTGTGATCTCGTGAAAGGAAATGGATACTATTGAAAAGACGAACTGCTAAGGTATAAGGAGCACCAGTGTATGTGAACTGGCATTGGCATCTGCCAATTCTCCACTCCAGCTTTATTTCCCAGTGCTCAGGCTACTGAACTCAGGAGCCTCTGATGGCACGCTGCCAGTCAGGATTGCACCAACGCCGGCACCCTGCAGGAGGAATATCGGGCCTGCAGATGCTGAGCATTGGGATGTGTTGCTCATTCAATCTGCAAATGCGTTCCCACTAGGAAGGCATGGCTAGCGGAAGGCCTCAACTATACTACCTGCCTCGGCGCTCGCGGACATGAAGCCGTAGAAGCAAAAGCAACAATACTTGTAATTGCTGCAGAAATAGGCAAGTGTAGTGGTTCCAGCGAGGATGAAAAGAAGCCCAGTACTGAGGCTTTGTGGTCAGCCGCAAAAACCCCAGCTGCAACTGGGGCGATGAGTGGCAGAATGCTTCCTCGCCTGGATTCATTACGATACTGAAGGATAAACATTGCAGCAAAAAACGGTCCTAGTAAAAAATGGTCGGCAGCGCTCATAGTAGTACTTCTGACTCCTAGCTTGCGCCATAGTTCTCAAGCGACAACGCTGATAGCTATCAGTGCTATTCTGATCACCCTTGCAATGTTTCTGAGAGTAATTAAGTGCTTCTCACAATTCCGCAAAAAGAGGCTTTGGACGGCAGCTGTAAACTAAGCTGTCTTGCGCAAACTTATCAGGCAAAGGGGCCCCAAATGCTGAACGCCCAACCCGCTGGCGTGATCTGGGTCGGAAACGCTGCCGAGATCTTCGCCTTGGTTCGTATTCATGGCCCAGGCTCACCCACCCACATCCCAGATCTCTAAAGGAAAGATCGGCCAAGCCGCCCATTTGAGATGGATGGGGGTGTCTGAATAACCTTGGAGACACTGAGCCAAGGCACGTTTGTTGCGCCCAGCTTGCCTGACAAGGACGCATAGTTCACCGCCAGTAAGGCTGCATAGCCTTTGCTGCAGATGTGGAGTGGAAGTTATCGGCCGGGTCTAGGAAAAGGCAGAAGCAGGCTGGCATGCTAGTGAGAAAGCTTCCAGCTCTGCATGTTGCACTTCTCATAACATGCGCAGTCTCTTCCTGTAAGCTCAGCAACATCCAACGGTAGCTACATGTAACTACGTAATTGCTTCTGCGCTTCTGCACCTACTCGCCCCGAAATGGATTCTGAACTGGCTGCCGCCGCAGCCACCTGCCCCAAAAGCGCCCTGCCAAAAGGGCGGAATGTCTTCAGAGGCCATGGTGGAATTTCCAAGGCACGGTCCCAGCTAACTTGTCTCCAGCTCAGGTTCACGAGAAAGCTTGAAACTTGTCACATGTCATTTTATCCTGGCTTGAAGAAACACTGGATGCAGTGCTTGGGCCGTGTAAGTGGCAGCGGACCACCTGTCTTCCCCCTTTGAGCGCAAGAACGATCATGGACTGACAAGCACATTACTGCGGACTTCGGCAGTGAGAGCAGTGCTTGATTCGCTCGCCGTTCGCGAGGCAAAGCATTTTGTTGTCGTCCAACACCTGGTGTGGTTCAATGCAACAAATGTTTCCGCTAAGTAGCTCTGCGTTGAGTATTGCTGAGTCAGGCCCACACCGTGTTCATGTTCTCGATCCATATTGCATCCACGGGCCCATCGAACACGACCTCAGCAAAAACAGTTCCACCAAAGAGGTGCCCGCAGAACTTCCACTAAGGTCGCTTCCCACTTCTTGTTGTCAGATGTGTCGCTCACGGCCTCACGCACCAGCAGGGCAACCTCGGAATCTGGGTACAAAAAACTCAAGGGAATAAGACTTGTCTGCCATACCACCTGGGACTGGAGACCCTCGCTATACTTTGAAAGACTGCCCAGGCCCAGAACAAAGAGTACAACTCGAGTAAAACCACAGAAGCAGCGGTTCTACACCTTTGCTTCAAGCTACATAGCTATCAAAAACCACAATGCCACCTTCTTCATCCATATGACTTTTTCCGTAGCATGGATGTCTGAAGCTGTAGGTACAGTCATTCAAGAATTGCTTAGGAAGGCTCTCTCTCTTTCCATCCAACCAGGCATTACCGGGATGCTGGCAAGTCCATCAGTCCACTCGCCTGTGTTGATGTTGGAGAAACCATAGAGCTCCTGAACCGATCAGAAGGTTGTCTGCCCGCAACATTCTGAAGAGAATCTGACGGTCATCTAGTTCAGGATTCCGCGCGAATCAACGAACGGAATGGCATGTATAGGCATGTACAAGCTAAGATTATGTACAAGCATGGTTCTGGTGCCATAGGATGTGCTGCTAACTACTAAGTGCACGATCGCATGGCGAGTAGGCTCTTCCTTCCCTTCGCAGGAGGCAGGATCAAAATGCGTATGTCAACTTGCTTTTTCATCTGCGCAAGGCGCGTAGCGTCTGTGCCGCGAGGCGCCTGACCTTGTCCTTAGCTCGGTCAGTTGAATGTAATGCCAGCATGGTGACGAGCTGTGGAGTTGAAAGGCAGGCCAAACGGATTCATTGAGAAGACGTGCGGAAATCACTTCCCAGAGTTCTGACTGAGCAGCATCATCGTCATCCATAACATCCCCGACGGCCTGAACAAATCCACGCTTGCTGCCCGTGACACAAGAGAGAGAAAGGCGCAACCAGGGGTACAGAATTGCTGAGGCCACAAGCGAGCAGCTGCACACGAGCATGTATTACTGCGATGACAGGAACATGACACTAGCAAGAAGCTCGCTCGGTAAAAACAGGATGCTGCTATCTTCCGTGACACACAGAAACAATGCGCGATAAATGCAAGTTATACTACAAGATGCTATACTAAATTGGAGTAACTATGACTATAACGTAGAAGACAGTATACAGATAATTACTAGTATTGTGGCTATTATGACCAACAGTATTATTACGCACAATTATCATTATGATTACTATTTATGGTACTAGGATGGTCCTCCAGCCTCCAGGGCGCCTCTATGGCCTTTGGGCGCAGTTCGCGCCACCGCCAGGAGAGCCGCTTGGCGGACTCCCTGCAGGATGATTTTGGAAAATATGCTCATGGTTTTTAGGGTTGAGGGTTCTTGCAAAATCTGCGGTCTAGGATGGTCTAGGGTTTTTAGGGGAGATGGAAGATCAAATGGGAAAGCAAATGGAAAATGAAACGGAAACTACTATATGGTTTAGGGTTTGGGGGTTTAGGGACTTAGGGCAACTTCGAAATTTAGGGATTTTAGGCGAATTAACCAAGGCTTGGTTGAAGGTCTGCAGGCAGCTTCCAGAAGGGTAAGCGTAATTCTAACCATGCCTGAACTACAAAAACTCTGGATGGAGGTCCGAAGTTCGCTTCGAGAAGGCTACTGCAGGTATGTTTGATTGCAACCATATCTGGGCAGAAAAACTTCACTTCAAACTTCCGGCTTCAAGTGATCTCCTGGCTCCGATGCATCTAGGGCTGAAAAGGCAGTGTAGAACTGATAGGGTTCAAGATTGGAGCAGAGATCAGCTCCCCTGCACACAGGACGACTGACAAACTTGGGCAAGCGAATGGCAAAAGTAATGGCATCGTCTTCATCACCATCACTAACACATGCCCACCTCGTCGTCGTCCTGCAACAGCTTTATCAATGGGGCAATCCACACCTGTTGGATGCAACACGGTGAAGCTTGGCTGTTCTGAGCCCGGATACCACTGGGTTAAGTGAGAGCATTGCACCTCATCACCGATGGGCGCGAGTCGACCTGCTGCGGCCGCTGCAGCCGCGCGCACGTCATCGTCCGCATCGGCGAGGAAGGGCTGCAGGCCATGGTTAAGCGACCCGGCCACGACAGAGGGCTACCAATTGAGGTGATCCCCACCTCCTCATTGACAAAAGAAAGGTTCTCAATGTGGCAAATGCATGCATAATCAGGCTTGCTGAAAATTATCTCGGTGATCTTTATACGCCACCTCCTAAAAGCACTTGGCCTTCAGTGCTGCCAGCGCGGGCTCAGTGCCCCTGGGTGCAGCAGCACCCAACGAAGCGAGGGCCACGCGACGGACACCCCAATCCTGAACTAAGCATGTCATCTTTGGCCCAGTTTCTGCAGATAGAAGCTTCAACTGCAAGGTGTTGGAAGTCGTCGTCAACACAACGGAAAGCTAGGTGATTCAGTGGAGGATAGACAATTCACAGGGCATCGTTTACACCAGGGCATCGAACTTGTTTCCGTGGAAGAGCCGAGCTCTTCTTTTACATTGTTGTTCGGAATTGTCGGATTCTCCTGTCGGCAGTGTCAGATACATTACGCTTTGGATTATTCTAAATCATGCCGGCCTGTCCCTCTCGCAAGGCAAGACTATGCTGTGTAAGGCATCATAGCCTTCAATTACGTCATCCGCTTCAAGAAGATTGTAAAAGGTCCTTCACACAATACTGCTATCTAATTATCTCAGACACGCAGACACGCGCGCCTCATCGCAGCGGAGCCGCTGCAGAACCTTTTTTCAAAGTGAGGAGAGCCCCCGTGAAGGATCGAAAACCGTGAGCAATGACTAGCCCATACATGAAGCGTTCAACTCTCAGACAGGCTCGCTAGACCTAGCAGACACGGTAAATTAGGACATTATAAGTGCGTAGGAGTCATGCAAGTAACTACGATGGCGAGATCTGAATCTCAATCTCCAGGTTGAAATCTAAAAATCGGCCTCGGATCCGGGATCTGGATAGGATAGGGGGAATTTGAAACCGGGAATGTCGTTCTTGGATCTTGCTTTTCAGTTCCATCCTCATGTTGGAATTCCACAATTGTCTTTAGATCTGAAACATGACCGGCAACGTCAACAATGCGTAAAGCGATTCCTGGAGTGTGTTGATTCGGCGATTTTGTATCATTTCTCAGCCCGGCATCTTGACCCATGTCATGATGGACTTACACGGCACCATTTCACATGATCATCAGCAATAACGCTTCCGCTAAACACCCAAAAGCTCTACAACACTCAATCCCGACACTTAGGCGTTAGACGTCCGTGGACCACCCGATGTTCTTCACAGGAATTTTGGACGTTTGCCTGCTGCGAAGAATTCTTTGCTTGACACAGGGATGGCCGTTCTTGCCCAAAGGGGCTGAAAAATGATGTTGCATTGATGTTGTGTCTTCGGCATTCGGAGAAAAAGCGGAACCCCTGGTGCATTCGGAGAGAAAGCGGAAGCCCCAGCAGCTCAACACATTCCAGATCAAGAATCGTCATCTTTGTTTCCCCCTCCCTGGGTCAACATTTCCGACACACTCATCCCGGATCTGCCCAACGGCAATTGGAGAACTTGCGGCTCACAAACGTGGTGCGCTTCCCTACTTAGTCTGCATATACATGCTGCAGACATGTGAAGCGTGGGCCTTCTGCCTGCCCACTCGAAACACGGCACTCCACGAACAAAAATTGATGGTGGAGAGAGTAACTTTGAGACCCTTCCACTGCGGGCCTTGCCAGAAGCTTGAACTCTTCTCACTACTTAGCTGCCACCTAGCTCTGATACTTCCAGTACCCTGACGCAGGCTACTCAGTCGTTGAGCTTTTTCCTCGTTGACGACTCCAAGCACTCTGGATCCAACTCTGTTGCAAAGTTTGGCCTCCAGAACAGTAGGGGAGTCATGACCCAGCAAAAAGCCCTCAACAATGCCAGAGCCATGACCTGAGCAATTTTCAGACACCAGCTCAGCAGCGCCTTGTCAATGAAGCCACAGCAGGCCGAGGAGGCCTGGGCCTCTACAGGTCTGCGGACATTTAAGGACCTTAGGTAATAGTAGTTATAATATAGGGGATAATATAGGGGACTACTATAGGGGTTAATAAGGGGGATACAGGCAGAATCCATTCAGAATTTCATCAGAGGAAAGTGCATGCAGCTTGCTGTATGAATCTTCCCAGAATGACAATCAACCACAGGTGTTCCGTGAAGCAGACAGGGCTCAAATGTTAAGCTCAAATGCAAGAAATATGCGACACTTGTGTGTTCATATCCAGTGGCAGAGATCCCAGCAAACTCCAAAAGTGTCTCTGATCTGCCAATGAGCTGCTTGTACTGTCCTGCGCAGCTCGCACGAAACTCAGGTATGACCACAGCGAGCTGGGGACACCAAAACCTGCACCCAAACTTCCCGACTGAGCCCCGCAAGGTCCCTTTTGCAGAGTGAGCTCGTAACAGGCTCCCTCGTGGCTAATTTTCAAAGCTTTGATCCCAGTACATCAGACTACCCACTGCAGTCTGAGAAAAATGTGTGCCAAAGAACGGCCAGAATTGTGAGAATAACTCCAGCAGTATCCGGGTGAAGGGCCTCCGCCAAGGCCTTTGCTGCCGATGCAGCTTCCTGCCAGCCGAGGATGTGCAATGATATACAGCAAGCTCTCACGCTTGGAGGTTTTCCATTCTGTTCACAGGGCTGCCAACTTCTATGGCAGTCGCAGCGCACACACTCTGACAAAATCCATGCATGGCAAGTATAATGATACAACAGAACTCCTCAGTATAGAGCGCCCTCATATGTAGACTTCGCTGCTGCACGTTGCTCGACGAAGTCTCCTAATACCCCCTGATGCACGAAGCAGCTGTGAAGCTGAAGGTGTACAGTGTTCCCATCGGTCAAATGGTGGGATGCTACATGCTCTCGTCCTCCTCGCTAGCCTCTTCGCCAGCGGGCTCTGGCAGCAGCAACCGCACGCCTGGCTGGGGTCTCATCATGCGCATGCTAGCTTCTTCAGGTTTTGGCAACACTCATTGTGAAGTCTCTTCTCCTGCAAAGGGGGCTACACAAACTCTAGACGAACGAGTACTGCAGAACATTGCAGACAGTGCCATCAATCTCGAGGTTCATCATCTGGATTCATGAAATTGCGGCATAAGGCTGGGGCATAAACGAGCCTAAGGGGTTGTTGCCATTTCGACGTGCGCTCAAGCTGCCAGGGATCAAAGAACAACTCGACACGAAAGCTTGCGTGTACACACTCTGACATAGATTCCCCAAATTTTACCCCTTCAGAGCCAATTATGTCTAGCCTAGACCTCAAACTCCAAATTACCCTGGACTCGAAACCTCGACTCCAAATCCTAAGGGAGGCCTGAGTCCAAGGCCGCTCGTCGGACCAGGGCATCTGAATCCTCGAGGCAGCCACAAACGAGCCTGACACGTGAAAGCCTAAGGGATTTTCAAGAATGCAGGGATGCGGGTTTGGGATTTCCAGGCTCGGGCCTTGATTCCAAGCTGAATGCGGGTTGAGAGTTCAGCGTGTAGGACCTTCAGAAGGCAACCAGAGTCTGATACGGGAATCGGGCTTGCACCTCAGCTATGCGTACAATTCGGAATGAAAAGCGGCTTCAAGTTCTGGATACAATAGCTCCGTAAACGGCGGCGCCACGTTCCCAAACCTGAATATTCTCAACATGATGGCCTTGTTATGGGATCCTGTTGGATACAACCGAATGATCAAGATCTCTGGTACGCAAAATGCCATCGGGGTTTCCGGGTTTTGCGGGGTTTCTCTGGGTCCAAGAGGCTCGACAGCTCTGGCGTTGCCACGTGCCAGCGGCAGGCGCCCAAGTGCCTGCACTGCCTGCCGCCGAGCCTCCCAGTCCTTTGCCACGAGCACTCAATGAACAGATAGCTGCCGTGAAGAAAGCACAGGGATAAACTTGTCTTTGACCTGGACTTCATGCTATTCCTGGCAGGGTGAGAGCGTGAAACCTTCATCTGCTGTCCTTCTGCAGGAGCATGTCCGTCCACTCCTGATTACATGGAACTCAGATTGGCTATGCGAAGGCAGCTGCCTTACCCCTTGTGTTGGCTACCCTACAAGGTTCACATGCTTCATATCGCATAGCCTCACCCCTTTTCCAACTTGTTGTTGTGAGAAGTTTGCATTGTGCTTGTCATAGCCGCGTCAACAAAGCCTGTATCGGTGCTGCCAGCCTCCGCTTGAAAGCCATGCGCCGCCGCTGGGGCATCGGGGCTTTCATACCCCATCTTCATGCAGGGAGAAGTTGTTGAAGGTTTCTCCTGCTTTCAGCTGAATTGTTTTGCAGTAACAGAAACACTTATATACCCTTCAGCTGTTTACGAATGCAGTGGCATGACACAAGGTTCATTGAGTTTCCTTCTGTTCCAGGTGGGAAACGTCGACAACAAGTAGCGTGCCGTCAGCTTGTGCCAGCAAGGCTGCGCACCTTCATGCTCGCTTCTGCCGAACTATCACTACTTCCAAAGCCACGGAAAATGCTGAATTCATCTGGATCCTGCTGGAGCAGTTCGCATTGCTGGACCCAGAGGACTTACTTGCAGAATCACTTGCAGCACAGAAACGAGAAACCCTTTGCTCTCAAGGTCACAACGACTTTTTCTCAGCAGCCGGCACTTTAACTGGAATTTGCAAACCTGCGGAATCTGCCCTCAGTCAATGTCGTGCAGCGTGCCGTACCTGCTCTCCCATACCCTGAAGGTGGTCACAAGTGCCATACTAGCCAGGCACCATTATGACATTGGGAACCTTTGCTGACATCGTGCTGCTCGAAACAAGCACTCCCCAACCACCACTATTTCGTGTGTCTCACGAGGCATTCAGGCAGGTTAGTATAGCCCAGCATTACCGAATCTGGACCTAGACCCTCAACCCTGGAGGTTTGTTCTGTTGCACAGCTGCCACGAACGACTCGGACAAGTGCAAATGAGACTCGATGTGGTTTATATGCATACACCGATATATTCTTTCCACCAGTCATAGAAAGGAGACGATCGCCGAACTGGAAGCATTCATGGGGTCACTCTGGGTATGGCTTCCCAGGCTCGTCCTGTTGGTGTCACTCTTGTCCATGGCAGAATCAATCAACACACAACTTGAAACTTGAGCAACAGGACACGACAGCCAGCGAACAAGTCCCGATGCAATCGTCTTCTTCATTCAACGTGTGTCTTCTTGGTTGGTGGTACTGGGATGCTCGTGTCTTTGGGAGTTGCTGGCAGTCCTTTCCGTGCGCCAAACCTGGCCGAAGCTTCTGCCCGAAGAGTGTCCTGTCAACTCTCGCTTCTCTAAAGTGAACGGGCAATGCTCCTTGCTTTCAACGGGAGCAAGTAACGGCAAAGACAATTCACGTTTCAGAAGCCACCCGACAGAGCATGGACTCAACAGATCTCAAGTCTGGCCAATGCTCTTTCCAACACATGCCAGGAGGACTGCTCAAACTTCTTCGCCTGCCAAGGGGGATTCTCTCTCAATAGTGTAGTGCCCTTTTTCGAGTGTACTTCTAGTGAAGAAGATGAAACTGTACCTGATCATTTGGTGGTACAAACGCGGGCCATACTCTGGGGAGATACGTTGGACATTGCCACATGGGCAGTTATCACAATTTCGGCAAGATTTCCGGAGTTGGAAATATGTAGTCACTTGGTTCGGCAACGGCGCAACTAGAACCAGCCGCCGCCAAGCCCCAAACATACGTGCTTCACTCTCGCATGGCTGGCTTCTAAGGGCGACCCCTTCCAGTCCACCTACAACGCAAAGTCTCACGAGCTGTCAGTAACTAGTTGTGCTCCTTCTTACAAACCTCGTTGACCGTCGCTGCCGCCGCCACGTCAACGCAAACGACAAGCAAAAGAGTACTGGTAGCCCCAGCAAGAGAATGAAGGGCAATAGCAAGATCCTAGCAACCTTAGCATTATCCGTAGTGCTGCAGCTAGGAATCAAAACAAGCTTATGATGCCGGCAGCTGCCTGCTTCTCTCTCCTCTGCTCTGCGAGCCGCTGGGCGTCCTCCTGAGTCCTGACAGAGCTTCTTCCTTGTCTAGCATCCTTGCGGGTAACCCTGTTACCAAAACCCTCATTTACAGATGCCAGGAGTTTGGGCTGTATAATTCAACTCAACCAGTGCTCCTAGACGGCATGTGCAAGCCCTGAATTTCAGCAAGGTCAGGGGCCTGCCGGATGCTTCCTCCTTCCTGGCCTCCATGGCAGCCTGTCACAATTCCAGTCCGTGAAGCAGTACTGTTACTAGGTTCCAGGATTTGGTTTTGGACTTGGGTTCGAGAGGCAACAAGCTGTGTGCAGCTGGCAGGGCTTGAGACTGAGACTTTCACAGCTGCCTTTGCTTGACACTCCGCCCTTCATCAAAATGTTCTGCACCAAAAGAATTGTTGTTGAGTCATTGAACCTCCCATCTGCTAGTTCCACCAACACAGAACACAATGTCAACAACTGGGCGAGCAAATTACAAAATGAGAGGATGGCGTCTCTCGAAGCCCATGGCGCAAAAATGAACCCCGCCCCGCCATGTGCCCACGATCAGAACAACTGCTCCCCAAAACCCGAGGACCGGACCCGTTCCGCCAAAGGAGACTTCAGCAGCGTCACGAACCTGCAAGCTTGACAAGGGCGCATCGTCTTGTAGTATTGTGACAACTTTAGCAGCCTTGCGTGAAGGTTTGTTCGGGACCTTTCGTGGATACGGCGGGCGTCGGGTTCTGGCCCACACCACTGCAGAACGATAAGATCTGTCTTGAACATTACGCACCCCCCCCCCATGAATAAGCGCCGTGATAGCTGTGTGATAGCTGTCGTCGCGTTTCCTCCGGCGACAATAGAAACTGGATAATCTGACACCGATCCTGAAATTCCCGTTCAGCCAGGGCCATGGCGCTTCCTGCTTGTACTCCTGCGCCAGCTGCAGTGCTGTCAGGCCTTTCAAGCAGCACTTGGTAAAGTGGCGTCACGGCGCCGGGGATCTGGTATGCAGTGCCCTAGAATCGAGAAGAAGCATGCTCTGCAGAATAGATCAGTCCCTTTGAGCGGAAGACTCTGCTGAAGAGGAACTTGACATGAAGGCTGCAGCGTAGCCACGAGGGCGCCGCGATGTTATTCCAGTGTAACTTCATAAGCACGCAGCGCATGCTCGTAGTGAAGATTCAGCATCCAATTCGCAGAATTTCTCAGCAATGCACTCTGTGTCCAGATGATGTTTCAGGCTTCGGGAGTTGAATATGATATGGACGTACGCAAAGAGATCTTGGCGTATCAATGCCAATGTTTGGCATAATTCCAATGGCAATGACTGCTAAAGGTTTATTCTTGTTTGTAAATTCTGGGTTCTCCCGGTTGCAAACTTAGTCAGTTCGATGAGAGCACACCGGAGGACAAACAGTTTGAAGAACTTCCCGGAAGCCCCAGGGAAAGGAAAGGTCAGCATCTGGCCGCTGGAGCTCTCGGCCAGGGGGTTGGCGCGGTGGTTCAAGAGGACCTCTCCCAGGCCTTGCACAACACCACGTGAAGTTCCCTAGCTGGCTTTGCTGAGCATGGTGCTTTCGTTGCTGACGCATCTGGATCCTCACGTGAAAGTTTAAAAAACCAAACATTGACATACCAGCATGCATGCTCACGTTGGATGCACAACAAGACCTGTTGGGTGTTCAAACCCATGAAACCATTAGTTCGTAAATCCAACCAATCTTGTGCTCAACAGCCCCACACAGAATGGAGCTTCCGGCTTCTGCGCTTCTTGAGAAAATGGCTGAACTAATCCCTGAAGTAACTATTTCGGGGTTCCTGAACCTCCTCCCTCCCCTTGTTATCAGCAGGGTTCTGGAAGCTCGAAATTCCCTACGCAAGCTCTGCCAGGCTCCCCGGCCATCCAATCCAGCCGCAGCAGCCTTCGGCCAACTTTTAAACGGGACCCCTCTCATTTCTTGAAAATGAGGTTCAAGCATCAGAGTGAACTATAACCAAACTATGCCAACAGCCTCGTACAAATGTCAATCCCTGTGTCGATATAATGTGTCGTTGCAAGGTGCATAGTGTCAAATTGGCGCTGCCGCAATGGATAAATAGGCAACAGGCATGGGTTGGAGCTGAAGCAAATTCACAATGGGTTCATGACATAAATGCTAGCACTCGTCGGGAAAACATGATTTCAGCCTGTAGAAGGCTCACTGAACCATGCCACGGGAAGTTTCATAACGCTAGCTACCTAACAAAAACTTTTGAAATAGAACTCCAAAAGGTGTCTTTGCAATCTTCTTTTAAAACGCATATAGTCGCCTGGCAATCTGGCCTTGGAGCAAAAAGCCTCCTTAAGGGACCCAAGTCCTGCCTTCCAAGATCTGTGCATGAAATGTCGTGCAATGGCTATCGGCTAACCAACTATACCCAGGGATAACTGCGTCGTCAGTACAGTTGCCAAGCAGGAATTTGTGAACCCTGAGAGCCTGATGCGCGGAGATACTCACTTGTGCTGTCTTCTTTTGTTTCTTGTGATTTCTCGGACGGTGTGAAATTTGTGAACCCCCGACGCAGCCTTTCTGCCCCTGTAGCAATGTGACTTGTCTGAAGTAGATCCTCATGCATCAGCGAACTATCTCAAGCAGTTGGCTCCATAGTGGTTTATGGTACTTGTGGTTCATGTTCGACAACCGACCCCAGTACCCTGAGCCCCGCCTCTCAGACATTTTTCCGAGTTCGGTCAGGACTGGGCCAATATCCCGAATACTGACGCTGCAATGTTCAGCTGCTGCTTTCTTCAACTGACTCACATGTGCTGCCGCGGCTCTGTTGCAATGCTCAGCTATGAATGCTGTGCAATGGATTCCGCAAAGACGTATTGTCATCCGGATTGTGTTGGTCTGCACGCTTCTGTTGGCGATTCATCCTTTTCACTTTGTTTTTCTGAGTTTGGACTTCTTGTCATCAAAAGGGCAATTGATCCTGTGATCAATTGCACGGATTTTGGGCTCCTGAGCAGGCAGCAGTCAGCGGGAAAAAAAAAAAAATTCTACTATGGGATTTGCGGAAATGAGGAAGATGCTCAGAAAGGCAAGCAACTCGGATAGAGCCTCGAGAAACATGACAACGCTTCTGTACCACCATAGATGTTGAAGAAAATGCGGAGCCAGTCCCAGTATCGTCTTTCTCAGACGGAGCGCTTTCACGACTGACCATGTCATTTGCAGACCCCATGGAAATCTGATACCAAACTTATTATGGAAAAAAATATGTATCTCATTGGGGCAATAGTTGCACTGCTTGTTGCAGTCATGGCACACTTCACAAACAGCACCCCCAAAGCGGCCTGGGCCTTGCCAAAGTTGCAAACCCTGTTGGAGGGTAAAACGAAACTTTGTGGCTGCCACTTTCTTTCGCGATGTATGCACGCAGCACTCTATCCGGCGTAGCTGTAACGAATCTGCATTCAATTTCAACACGTAGTCACGTAGCCAATCTGCTTCGAAGAATCCCTGCATACGGAAGGGTCTAAAGTATCGCGACCATGTGTTCAGCGTCTGGCTGACAAAAGAGCAGGAAATGCTCACATCAAGCACTGCGGCTGTGCCCAACTTCTGTCTGGAGTCGCAAGCGTTTCTGTACCGAACGACATAGTAATGCCTGCGGTTCCAGACTGAAGTTGGGCACAGCCGCAGTGCTTGATTTGCGCAACTCCTACAGGCACACTCTGGACACATGGCTGCGATGCATTAGACGGGATTCTTCGAAACAGATTTGATCGAGGTTGGCTACGTGTCTCAGCTCAAAAATATTATGCAAAGGCATGTCTGTAACCAACGAGTATGGGTCATGAGGTAGTCCTAGCATACTCCATAGAACAAATTCCTCGCCGCGTAAGTAACAGGCGTAAAGGTGCACATGCAAGTTCATGCAAGTGCATCTGAAGAGCCAGCTCCACTGGAAGAGCCCTCTGCGCAGATTCCAAGTCGTATTTGTACGAAATCTAAACGGCTTGATGATGCGCGTCAGCCATTAATTTTTGCAGAGACACCAGTCACCAGAAAGGATTTGAGCACGCCATACCGGCCGTGTAATGAGCGTTTGTCAGTTCACATAGCAGAGAACCCGCGTCCGCCTTCCAAAGATCTTCAACAAGACCCTGCTCAGCCTTGCTCAACTCAGAGAGCATTGATGAAAATGAGGCGGCGTATGAGCTGCCCAGCCGAGATGGAGAGGCTCTCCACATAGTTGTTAGGGTCTTGAGCATCACGTGGCGGTGTCTGCCAGGATCTCAGCGGCCAGGCTGCTTCTGCAATCAGGGCTTGCAGAAGAATGCATTTTTTGGCATGCTCAAGAGCTGCAGATGCTGATAGCTGCGCCATAGCTCGCTCCTCCTGATCTTCTACTTCAGATTGCCTTAACAAGTCACTCAAACTCGGCAACCTGTGAGGTTCATCGGACATGGCGGCACACGTACACATCCAGTCAAGTTCGCAAACAGCTGCGGCATAAAATGTGAACTCACTAGTTTTGCATGAGAAAACGCACCTAATCCACTTGACCCGGGAAGACTGCACTGCTGAGGAAGGAGTACACGAACTGTACTCGGGACTTAGTTCATGGCTGCATCCTACAAGCTGACCCAAACCTTCACATCTCCCACGCGAAACTCAGGCTTTGAACCTTAGGCCTACTGTACTGACAAAAACTTCGATGGCAAGCCCACGTCGGTGGCTGATCTGACTATGTCAACTAGCAGTAAGGTGTAGCCAAAGCAAGGTGATTCATGGAGTACTGGCAATGTCTAAAACCTCCCACTTTCCTGGTGGCCTCCATGAGAGGCGTCTCGCCAACCATGTCGCATCGGCTGGGATCCACGCGCGCCTTCGAGAGAAGCTCCTGGCTATGTGGCACTCCTCACTGTCTGATTCAAAAGAATTGAAAAACCAGGCAAATGCAGTTTTCTGACCGCTTTTCATGTTCACCAATGTTAACCTTGTGGTGTGGCTTTCGGGTTTGTGTTGGCGGGCTTGGGGTTTAGTCGAGTGTTAATTCAAAGGGACCACATAGCAACAAGCAGATCTGCTGTGTTGTTTACACTTGGGCTCTGGCTTGAAGGCGGTTACAGTAGAGGTTTGGGTGACGCTGAGATTGTTGCACACACCTGAAGCTCGTAGCTTTTGATGCCTGCTCTGCATCGCATAAGGAGTAAGCCGTATACCCTCATGTGTGGCTGGATGTGCGGGTGCGACTGGAGGTGTGAGGCTGGAATGCGGTTGCAAGAATTGGGTGGCGCGATGCGCTGGAATCGGTGTGGCTAGAGTGGTGTGGCATGTGTGGAAGTCCGCGCACCGATGCTGAACCAAAACAAACTGTCGCTAGCAAATCTAGCTATACTGTATTGACCTGCCACCGGGAACTATTAGGTATCAATCGAATCGGTCCAACACAAGCCAGATATTGCTACGACGAAGCTTCAATCACAAGATGGAGGCTGAAGCTCAGCAATGTCGCGCCTCAATCAAAACCAGCGCGCGCTGCTCATCCTCCACAAGGGACATTGGGTTGCAGCTGCCTATGCGTTCGGGAGTTGCTAGGGGGTCCAACCGTTCACAGCTGCAACCTCTTGCCTCCAGTGTTGTTACTATGACGTTGTCTGCCTTGTTGCCAATGATGTTCAGCGAAGGGATTGACAAAAGTGAAGAACACAGCTTTGCTGCGCATGCTCATTCCTGTGTTGGCTTCTTTGTTGGCCTGCTGCCGTCCCCGCTGGGACTCACGGAGGCCTGGGAAAGTAGCCGTGGTTTTTGCATCCTCTTGACTTAGCTTCACAAAGCAGTCCACAAGACAGGCCCTGAGACAACGCTCAGAACCGCTTTAGATTCAAAAATTCTGTGCCTTATACACAAGCGCACCCAGGCACTCGCACTAGCCCTGAAACCTTTCCGGCAGTCCAGCAAGAAGAGCCGAACAGCCGACATCAGGGGAGTCTCCCCTTAGCTGGCCGCAGGGACACACTAAGCTTGTGTAGCATTCCTCGCACCATGAAGGATGCAGTAGCTGTCCAAGGTCAGAAAGCTGCAGTGGTACTCAGTGTCATTTCGGTGCTTCTTCAAAGAGACAGATTGGAGGCAGCATCCTGAGGCCATGGCCCAGCGAGTTCTGCCGGTTCTTTGGAGCCCCATTTTGCAGCAGAAAGGCCAGCATCTCCTGACGTGATTACACGCTGAGCCACCACGAGTCTTTCTGCACTGAAACGAAACACGTTCAACGATGTGGTGGCAAATAGATAGACCGGCGCGGCAGTGTAAACAGCCATGCCCGAAGGCCGGAAGCAATAAGCAGAGGATAGATTCTGCCGATATTCTACGCATGGAACCACAGCAAGAAGGCATTCAAGAAGCCCAAAACCCTGAGTCGCGCATAGCCGGAAAGAGAAGATGCGAGAGCCGTCTCCTGGTCAGTGGCCTCCGGGGCCTTTGTTTCGAGGGCTTGCGCCAACCAATGAAGCGGCCTCAGACGGGATGAGAGCACATGTGTAACCAAAGATGAGATCGTGCATTTGATGTATGGCAAGCAAGCTGCACAGGGATCTTCCATAGGTGGTTTTTCGGCCCTAGAATTTTGCGCTCACGAGCACCTGGGGACGATGCGTGTTTCCATCCTCATCTGCTGTCTCCTGCAAGCACTCATCGTTCATGTGGCAACTCTGTGGCATAGCTTTGCGGCATCCTACAGAAGCACGCTCCAAGATAGGTTTGGAATGTCAATGCGTGGATGGGAAGACGATCCGCCCTCAAAGCGAGAGCACTGAAAGCGCTCTTTGAGGTTCTCATCTGGTCATGATGCCCCGATGCTTCAGAGCCCAGAGATGGGTTCCAAACAAGGCTGAAGTGCCATCCAAAGGCTCTGGACCGAAAGGATGGGCAAAGTACCCTCTAAGCCCACCTCCAATGAGATCTGCGACGCTGCTATCAGCTTCTTTGCCTTGCAGCTAGCTGCTAGAGAGTGGAGGTCTGTCAAAATCAATTTAAGGACTTTCGGCTGCAACATGGTAACCTGCAGCATACCTTGGAGCTTAAGTAACTCTAGGATCGTAACCGGAGAACTGATTGGGATGCGAAACGCACGGTAAGATACATTGTAGACGCCATGCTGCTCTGCGATACCTAGGTCCTAGCCTTGAGCATCACGACTCTGCACGTGTCATGCGGACGAGTAATCCAATACAAAAAGTCAGTGGATGACACAAGGTAGAAGTAGTCCTCAGGCCACTGCAAACAATCAACCTGCAAGCCTCCTCAAGCACAGCCCCAAACCCTTGCCCCGCCTGTGCCAGCCTGCCATTCAGCACGTGATGCTTCAGCTCCAGAATCGTGTTGCCTCCTGCCATGGCCAACCTCCAGGTGCAGAGGGGTAGCCACTCGACATCATCTCGTTTTTAAAGATTTTCAAAGCACAGGTTGTCTTTTCAAAGCACGGAGGTCCCTCGGCCAGGCTCTACGGTGAGGGGCTGGCTTGATAATGATGAAAACGGCTCTGGAAGTCTGGTTTCCAGGCCTTCAGCAGCGCCACTCCCGGCGTGGCTGTGGGGATACTTCCGCTGGAAAACACAGGGGGGCTCTGGCCAACTACCTGCTTTGGCTCATCACCTGCAAATAAACGGCTTGCTTCATTGCCGGTCAAAAGGTTCCTGACCAAAAGCCACTTTGCGCTGCCCCAATGCACCATGTGCTGATGTCAGGAGCCATGAGTTTACCTTGCCGCAGCACATCCTCTTCAACCTTGTGCCAAACCAGCGGTCACGAACATGATGCGCAGCGACAGCCTAGCAAGCGTAGCCCTGCTATGACCTCATGAGTTTGATTCAACTGGTCGGTTGACATGATGACATTCGCATACTTGCACCATCTGCGAGGAACGTGCGGAAAGCACCAGCTGTTAGGACCAAAACAATACTATGAACCGACAGTCTGATGCACAAACAGCAGAGCTGCAAGCAACCTTCATGCCACCTGAATACTCAAGTTGAATGAGCGAGCTCACGGCGTCCTCCATAGTGATGCTCTTTGGGTTCAGCGAATAGGTCTTGGTGAGCTGATGGGAAGGGTCTGGCGAATTGTCCTGCAGGAGCAGACTTCTTGGCAGAAGACTTGAAACTTTGGCCAGAGGCCTTCGTTTCTGCAGGATTCCACACTGTGCTGAAAGCTTCTGGCCTGCAATAAAGACTGACTTCAAGATCTTCAAGACTGAGAGTAACCACCGCCCGAAGGTGGAAGTGGACACAAAGTTCCAGAACAAGAAGCACCAGTAGCAATAGGCTGGCATGCGTCTGACGCAACTGGGAGAAGTTGTTCATTGACGGCGTTTGGAAAAAAACTCTAGAGTTTCAGGCGGGTATGGATCCATCTTGACCTTCAAACTACCGCTTGTTTCGTCTTCTAGAGTTGGATACCACAGCTGTTTATCTGAATCGACCGGTCAAGCGGTTGAGAACCATTGCCATTGACATGCCATCGCCTACCCCGAATTCCCGATTCCTGCCCGCTTCTTCTTTTCAGCCGCCGACGCCCCGTTCGTCAGTGCAGCGTAGGCTGAGACTGCTACCATTACAATGATTCTTATTACCACTATGTTCATTGTTATTACTGTTATGAATTTTTCATTGTGATTTTTATTATCAGAAATATCTTAAAATTTTGAAGTGTTATTAGTGTATCAATAAAACTATTATGTGTTCAAGCCTCGTTAACCACTTCTTCGCTCCTCCATGCCTTACTCTCATCACAGCTATGGCACGCACAAAGCTGTAAGTCAGTCGAAATGCCATTGTATTGCTGACAAATATCATGAGGCTCTAGAGAAACTTTCCGGAGCAGCTACATACGTGGCCTATGGTACGATTAACAGCATGCCTTCTCTCGCCACTTTCGGAACTAGTGAAGAGCAGGTAAGCCATCAGCGAGAAACTTGTCTTGGTGTGCTCGGAAGGAACGACGGGGTCCCATGCACGTCCTAAACGGCAATGCAAAGCACAATATAGTGCCTGTCACACACTTCCGCAAACTAAGGAACGGCACACCCTAAAGCCAGCGAGCTTGGTCACCAGCATCCTGCATGCTCCTGCTGTCATTATGAGCTTCTGCTGTCACTCAGTCTCAGCCTGCGTTCCCCGTTGAAATCCCCACTTTTGCGGGGAAAGCTACGCAGCCTGTGCTGCCTGCGTCAGATAATTTCTTCGTACCAGAGATGCTGGCACGATCAGGAGTTCATGAGTAGGAGTTACGACTTGTTTGATTTAACCCGTCTACTGCTTGCCCAATTAGAACCATGTCCGGGAATCTCTCTCTTGTAAGAAATACAGAATTCGCTTCCAAGGGCAATTGTCAGGCTGTAGGTTTTCGGCACGCTCTTTTGCAGGATGAGCGGAGGTAAAGAGTTGCCCATCCTGACTTCATGCAGTGTCCCTGGGGCAAAGACAGCTTGGCTGGCATCTTGCTGACTTGCTCTGGGTCAGCTTTGAGCGCAGTCTGTACGTCTCAGTCCACGTCGATGGACACCGGTGGCCTGAGCGCACGAGTTCAGGCGACAGCTACCTGGAACCTTCTTGGCCCGGTACATCAATTGGAAGAAGCAAGCAGGACTTGAAATTGTAGGGAGCTGTTTGACGGTGCACTGGCAAAAACCTGCTGAAAATCGAAGCTGCAACAAAAAGGCCTGTCATAGTCCCTGCAACGGAAAAAGTTGTGAAAATTGTATCCGTTCAAGGCCGCCGTTCCAGGCTCATAGTCGCCCAATTGGAGTTGCACACAGGAATCTGGGCGCTCCGGCTCCGACACCCAGCTATCCTCTCTGGCATCCTGCATGGATGAGAAGGGAAACCACTTGACTCAGGTGCAGGAATGGGAGGGGCAGGCTGGCTGCCCAAAGGATTTGCACCAGGTCACAACATGCAAAACTGTTCTGCAAATAGTTGGCATCTGCGCATGTCACTACCAGAAGTGATGATGCAAGGCTGCTAAATCAAGATCAACCCAGGCGAGGTAGTGCAAATCACGGTAATTTGGATTGGATGCGAGTAGGTGTGGCTGAAGCAAATGCTGGTCCCTAAATACGCGCATGGGGATTAATTGGATTACAACATTAGACAAAGTCTCCTCTGCGCTTGCTTCCTGTCTCGGAGTTGGAAAGAATAGTCGAAGCCTCAATCTTGCGCGGACGAAGGGTTATGAGCTTTTTAGGTTCCAGGCGCTGCACTGGGAGTTCTATGTTGCGAGGGTCTTGTCACAACGATGCTACAACAGGTGCCTGAGTGCCTCAGCAGCCCGTTCGAGGAATCATGACCACTGCTGTAAAGACGCTGCCGGGGATCGTCTGTGCTCCCGCTTGGTGCCTCTTGCGGTGTGGGCTCAGCAGCCGCCGATGCGCCTGATTCAAGGAGAAGCAAATCACGGACGTGTGAAATTTGATCGTGTCCAGATCAAGGGCTGGCCCTACAGCGTAGCAAAACCCCAACATGGTTCCAGACACGGCAACGCCAACAATACTACGAGCAGGGCAATAACGACAAAGATCACAACAAGTATGGTGGTATAAATGCGCGAGACCCCGACTATACTACTTAGGCTAAAACTCTGGAGCCCTGCCGCAGGAATTGTGGCGTGATGAGTTATGTTCTAGGGCCATTCGTGCTGCCAATTTTGCCTCTCTGGCTGACAAGCATCAAAGTGTTGGGGGGGCTGGGGCAGCCTGGATTTGCCTGGGGCTGGCGTTTGCTACATTGCCCAGGATATGGACCAGATCTTTAAACCCGGACATTGCGCCGGGCTCCACACGAAGTTTTCCTCATCACCACACTTCCTAAACACATCTTCTGCTCGCCTGCAAAAAGGCTGGGATTTCAATCGCTATGGCTCCCAAGATGGAGGGAAACTACCCCTAAGATCTATATCATATAGGAACACACTTTGGGGGGCACTTTTTAAACTCAGCCTGCTAGAATATCCTTACCCTACCTAACCCCTTTTTATCTACTTTGACGAATCAGCCTGCCGGCTCTGCCACCTTGGGCGGGAGGGTCGACTTCGTGAAGGTGCCCTGGGAGCATTCGAGCGGATTCGAGCGGATTCGAGCGGATTCGAGCGGGTCGGGTGAACACAGCTTTTCCGGGGGGAAGCGTCAGCGTTCATGGGCTAGGGAGAGTTCCGAGCTCACAGCTGAGCAGCAATTTGTTTTTCAGGGAGCCACGAGCCGAGCCATGTAAGAAGCACTCTTGGTGATTGGAGCTTGGAGGACCACAGTTGCATGTTCAGAGTCCCGTTAGCGCGCTTAGCCTCGCCAGGCCTCAAACTGCCAGGTTACCGGCCCTTCCCACTTCCTCCATTTCAAGCGAAGGTGCCCTGCCTTTGAGCCAACGTTGTCAGCACCAATCTTGGAGGCCTGCGGCAACATTTGGCCTTTTGGAGGCTGAGGATCAGATCTCATTGCAGGTACATGCCTACATCTCAAGATGCAGGTCCCCTGCAAGAAGATGCTTGCACACGTAATGGGGCTTGTGCACAGAGACCCGTGTTTTCATCCCTGATGGCAATGGAGAATTCTTGCTGGCAGTGCTACTAGGGTGACCCGAGCTCTCAAAACTTTTTACGGGAGATCGAGACATGAAGCCCAGAACTTTGGCAAGATGATAGAGCTGGCATGCACCCAAGAACATATTTGACCTGACTGCTAGATTGTGCGCCTGCCCATCGACCATGACACCGACATCGTGCTGCTTGCGCTCCAGCATTTGATACAAGCTGTCCTTTGCTACGAGGATACAGAGACTTGCATGTTGCCAGTTGTTCTTCTACAGGCATATGTCCAACCCTTGCTCATCCCTGCGCGCACAAACTCCGCAAAGACTTACAAGCAGACAGGATCAGGTCGAAGTTTCGCTTTTGTGCCAATCGACGAACGCTGCCTAAACTTCATGCAGCGAAGTCAGATGAGTCCAGTCTAAACTCCCTTCATGAGATGTGTCGAGCCTGCCCGCAGATTGAAACTGCTCCCTTTTCCGCACATGACGTGAACCACGACATGCTACAACTCTTCAATGCTGTCTGGCGCTCCGTTGCTCCTCTGCTTTATGAGGCAGGTAATGCAGGTGTCAACCCCAAAAAGGCCGGATAGCTGCACTCTTGGTGCAACACGACGCGGAGCCTTCAGATGATACTTTTAGCATCTTTCAACAAACCATGTGGGCTCTGGCAAAATCTGGCGAAGGTCTCACCTCCTTCTTGTCCACCTGCATAAGTCGTAAGCTCAGGAGTTAGCCTGGATGGCTTGAACTAAGGCAGACAGTCCAAACAAAGGCTACCGTGTACTGCTGTCAATCCTTCTTCCGGAGATGAGCCTTTCATCTACAAGCTTCCCTGCGCTTACCCAAAGCAGGCTTACAGTGTTGTGGGTGTCTTGCTGGCGTGCGGCATCCAGCGTGTCTCTGGCGATGAGATAGTGAACATTGACAGACTCCTGCTGGCCCATTCCTGGATGCAACTCCCCTTGTTCGCATGAATTGTTGTGACAAACCTCCCACAATCTCAAGAGGCAAGGCTCGATGCGCGCGATCTTCCGCCTGCGGGCAAAGTTTCAGGCAAGGACACAAGAATGGACGAGGCTCCGCCGCTTGAAGTTGGATTTTTTCACAGTTAGGTATGCAGGAAGGGGGTTGCATGTCAAGGTGCACCTGGATTTTGGGTGCGAGAACTTGGCAAAGCAACATGTCAAGGTGCGCCTGAAGCAGCACACCAGGCGTCCAGTGCAGCTCGGCAAAGACCACGGTGGAGCAAACCTGGCCAGACCAGTACTTTTACACGAGGATCCCTCAACCCTTCAGACTTCATTCCAAACGACACTTATTAACTTATTATTACACAGGTTGCATCTTCCAGATTCTTCCAGTCAGGTGTAGTTACTGGCATTCTTGCAGCCAAGTGAAGGCGAGCACAGCCTGACATGAATCCCCACCTGGAGGTTGAGCCCCTGGCCGCAAGCCGTGATGGAGAGCAGTGCCACCTCCAAACAACACAGGGGTCCAAATAATCAGCCAGGGATCATGGGGGAATGCAGATAGCTTGCAAAAAAATTGAATAGGAAGCCGAAGAAAGTGTTCAAACGTCCCTGGTGCTTTGACAGCATGGGGCTGTTGGAGTGTCTTGCAGAAGGGTTGAAAAACTGTAGCGGGCAATTCCGCTCACCCCTGATTCTGACAGCCCCCTGCCAGCCTGCTTCGATGGATTCGAGCGAAAATCGTTTACCAACCTGATCTCACAAGAACGGTTCAGACATGCTAGGACATACATAAATTGGCTTGCCTGCAGCTTGATGCGCTGGTCATGTCACGGGGCCGGGAAGACGAGACTAGACGTTCTAGAAATCTACTACCAGTGTCCATAGCAGCAAGCGGTTGACGCTCACTCCGCATTCCTTTCACAACGCGAGATCGGAGGTTCCCAGACAATCTGACCCCTGTCACTACACAGAAAACATTGAATCTGTGCCAGACAAGATTGCATGCATGCTGTAGTTCTGTCCGAGGCACTGATCTCGGTGATGCGCTGGAGTTTTGCCATCGATGCCTGAGCAGCTGATGGCCATTGACAGCATTGAGCTGCCTCTTTCGGGTTGATGTCACAAGTTCAGATTCCCGCGCAAACCCCATAGAATTTGCTCCACGGCCTTCACCTAGCAGCTTCGCTGGAAATTCGGTGTGTTGGGGATTTACAGGCATTGGTAGCCTGAAACTAGCGCTCATACTATGCTTCTACTTATTAAGAGCCAGAAGATGACGTCTCGCGCGAGAATTTTGGGCCAATGCCAGCTCCATTCTGCGGATGCTTATGAGTTTCGTCGTAAAGCCAGCTACTGCACGTGGTCTTTGCGTGCCATGCTGCGGATGAATCCAGTCTTCAGCTTCTCCAGCTTCTGCTGCAAAGTGTCCATTACCTGTGAAAGCTGTGCAAACGCATCTCCTGCTGTGGCAATACAATACGGACAATCCATGAAGCCCTGTCCACTTTGCCAGGCTGCCGCTTGATGGTGCGCGAAAAGCAGGAAGCGGCACTGAGCCTCCACCAGATATTGCACCTCAGCCCAGCATGGCTAAGTTGGGCAAAGCCACAACTGAAACTGCGCGCGTCAAGGTGCATACTCCGCAACGGCTTCGACTTTGGCCAAGCCAGTGAGCCTGATCAGTCAGCTTCAAAAATTCAAGGAACCGGCTCCTGCCAGGTCCTGCCAGGTCCTGCCAGCTCCTGGCCTGAAAAGCTCCGTCGCAGCGGCATTTCCCTGTCCACCCTGCCACGGTCACACTGCGAAGTATACTTGATTCGCCTGAAATGAGAAAGCCTAGCGTTGGCATCCATGCTTCTAAGAGGCTTCTACGTGTGACGTCTAAAAGTGAGCAACAGAAACCGCTTCTTTTGGCCTTGCATTCTGCATCCGGAGAAGATCATCAGGTGTACAATCAGGGCTCTCATCATGCTCAATGCAACATGCTGGCGCCTGCTCACCTTGCTCGCCCATTTCCTTGCTTCTCTGGAATTCGCCCATCTTCTCGCGAAGCTCTTGCAGCACACCTGCAAAGCGGCAGATAAAGCTGCAGAGTTCGTTCCGTGTGTAGCATGAACTAGCCTAAGTAGCATAGCCCTATCCGGCCTAAGCCTTGCTAACGCAGGTATGAAGTTGAGCTGGACCCGATGGCACTTTGGAGCTGCTTGCATTCTGACGCAAAGGTTTTGAGGTATTTTGGGGTTCAAGTCTCTGCGAGCCGAATTCAAAGGCTTCCTGGTTAGCCGAATTCAACTGACCACAAGTGGTCCCACATCTTGAGACATCCAGACTGACCCGCGCCTGAAACCACCTCTTGAGCCCCACCAGAGGCCTTGCACCACCAGAGTCCCTCTTCAAACCCCAGAATACATGGCTAAACTAAGGGCTGCCAAGGCCTCTCTAAAGATCAGCCTCACAGCACTTTAAATTAGCATCGTTACAAGGGCTGGCTTAATCCGCGAAGGGGTTCTCAGCGGAGGTGGTCTTCGTTAAAGTTGTCGTCATCGTTGATGAGTGGATGGATGTTGCGATGGCTTGACGAAAAGGATGGCATGAGGTAGCGGGACGGTGCATGTCTACAAAGGATGGCAAAGGATGGCACGAGGTAGTATCGTTGATGTGAAGGTTTAGAAAGGACGGCGAATCGTTATCATTGATCAGTGGGTGGATGTTGTGATGGCTTGATGGAAAGGATGGCATGAGGTAGCGGGTTGGTGAATGCTTTTGACAATGACACGCTAGAGCCACACCGACATTAACCTACAACGCTCACGAATTCAGATTTGCGCCGGCCTTGCTCGTTGCTCAGCTTCTCCTGATCTTTCACAAAGCACACTTGGCTCAACGGTCTGATTAGGCTAACATGAATTCAACACAGAAGCGAGATAGCGCAATGCCTGGTGCTTCTCACAGACTTCCCTATGCTTGTGTTGGCCCGAAATCGGCCCCTCAAGACCAGAATCCTAGTGAGTCCTACTTTCTGCTGCGGCCACGTGGCCAGCACCACGCGCTGTCTCCGCTTGGGTGGAAGTTGGCTCAGCACGTCCTTCGAGGCTCTGGGAGAAACTCTCTTCTACTGTCGGCAATGCAAGCTGCTACAAATACCTGCAAAGCCACCGTCTTTAACAGCTGCACCTGATAAGCAAGCTGAATCTACTATCAACGCCAACCCTCTGTCCTTCTTGAAGCGCCGAATCATGACAGTGTCCAGCACAGCATAAAGCTCCTTAAAGGAGGCACGAAGCATTATTATCAAAAGCCTGCAGCACCAGGTTCAAGACTGATTCGGCCGGAATCGATGTTGCAACGTAGATCGTTCAAGACCCAAAATGAGATGGCCTACTTGTGCCTTGCTGAGTCTGGAATACCTAACTTTGCTGAGTTAGCGGGTAATCTGAGAAGGGGGCAAGCTCAAGCATTTGCGTGCAGGATCGGAATTCCAAAGAACTTCTCCCATATCATCCTTATCCAAGTACCTGGATACAAGCAACCAGTGCAGATGAGTTGCATCTCCCAAGCGACTGCCTTCCTTGCAGAGGCACGGCCCAGGGTTGTGGGAACCAACACATGAACACATGTCTTTTCGTTAAGCTGTATGCAAATTGCAGTCAGTTGCAGTGAGCGCAGCAAACAAGAAGTGCTAGCAGACAGCATGAGTGGTGCCCCTGTGCTTGTGGCTAGCATCAAGCCAGGTCACTATTGGAAGCAGGAACTCTAAAGAACTGACTTGAATTATCCTCTCATCCTACTCAGAAAAGACTCACAACGATTGATTACTTTGACACTGGCCAGATTCCCATTGCTTCACGTGCCGTCGACCCAATCTGAGCGTCTTCTCGTTGCCTGCAGCTGGATGCTCAGCAAGTGCACATCCCACTATACTAAATACTGGAAAACAAACTGTTTGATGCGGCAGAGCCGCAATATCTTTCACAGAACTGGTCGTGGGTGTCAGGCAGCAATCCCGGTAGCAGGCCTCTGGCAGTGTGGTGCCAGCGGGTTGGCAAAGCTTCAAAAAATTCTGGTCTTCTACCGCATGGCGTTGCCTCCTCGACTCCTTGTAGCGGGAGGGACAAATATGAAACTACTTACCCAAAACGAGTCCCGAAGACAACCATCCGCATACGCATAACCTCAGCCCAGCCACAGTCCAGCAAGGAGTAGAGCTCCGAGGCCTTCCATTTGTGGTCTGACCCTAGAAACAATACTCCTGTTAGAACCGAATTATGAGAACACGGCGCGAAAAACTGAAAAGGAGGCGTACTTTGGGACTAAGAGCAGGCTAAGTCACATCAAGCGCGAAAAGTCACATCAGTTTGGAGCAGTACCAAGTACCCTGGGCCAACAAGGTAGTCAAATCAAATCGCGTGAAGTCACATCAACCAGGCCAAAAGTGACCAAGCACACGCGCCTGACATGGCAACTTTCACATATCCAAAACCATGGATGCGTCCTCCAAGTGCCCGCACTACTGCAGCTTAGATCAAACAGAACAACCCTCGAGAACACTGAACGTCTCCGAGAACCCAGACCTGTAACCTAAATGTACCTAGTGAGAAAAAATCTCAAGCAAACTCCAGTTGATCTGGTTGAACAACCCAATCCCAAGAGTCAGACTGAACTTATGTGACTTTACTGTGTAAAGTTTACACGCTGGAGGACCTAAGACGTGGATTGGGACCACAAAGAACGTGCATGTCTGACATCTTCATCAGAAATTGGACTCCAGCTGCACTGGCAACTACATGACCCCAACATAAACTTCCTGGCTTATAGGATAAAAAACAGTACACATGTTTGCGATGAATCTGGCCATGGTTTTATGCCCTTTCTGGCTTAGCACTACTTGGCTGCATGTACGCGTTGCCCTGCCTTCGCCAGGGCCGGTGTCCCTGTGAGCAATGCGCATCTGCGAGTCTGCTGGAGGATGGGACGGAGCGCCTGAAAGCAGATGGCTGTCGGAATCTTTGGGGCTGAACTCAACGCTGCCCTGGCCGAGTTGTGGGGTTAAAGAATCGGATCTTATTCTCTGTATGCAGTAAGCAAGGAGATTGTGGGATCTGATATGAGGCAGTTTGCAGGCTGAATTGTACTGCAGCTTGTGACCGGCAATAGCTAGGGAAGGCTTGTGCTCGCAGTCTGACTCAGCCGGTGGAAAATTCAGTGACTGAAGTGCCTGAGACCGTTGAGACAGAGGCGTCTTGAGGTAGTGAGCCTTAGTATCAGTTTGACCGACGAGCCATAAGATTTGACACCTGATCATGACAGGCATGCTCCTTCAATTACTTTCCAATACCATTGCCCCACACCATGAGCATGAGCACTGATGGCAAAGCCTTACATCATGGCATCATGCCGCTGCTCAGCCGTGTCATCACAGAGCAAAGGACCCCTCTTCGGCTGCTAGAAGAAATCCCATGGAATCCTCACATCTGGAGTGTGCCTTTTTGGCCAGCGCTGCTGGAATTCACCAAGTCGCTTCATCGCAGATGACCATGCGGTACTTCTTGCCATGAGCTGATTGCCGGAAGGTTTCCTTCCGCAAGTGAACTTGACGTTTTTCAAGAAAAGTGTCAATCAAACTCCCCAAATTGTACTGCCCCTGCTCCTGCGGCTGTAGAAGAATCCCCCCCCAGAAAAGCTCAGACTTCTGGCACCCTCCCAGGCAGCGAAACGTCAAATGTATCTGTCAAGACTGCTCGTGCAATGCGATGCAAGCCTGAATAATCCTAAAACACAAAGCATGCCAGGCTACTCACATGATGGCTCATCAGCTCATCTTGTGTCGAGGGAATCGAGACATGGCTTCTCAGAGAACAGCATCAACTACAGAACATAATCTTAGATCTCCAGAACTTCATGTGCGACAGAAAGCTTCTCAGCCCAAGCTCCTCTCGTGCGATCAGGTCGTAGCTCACAATTACCACGCGCGCCTGCTAACATTCAAAGGTTTTACTGTAAAGGTCCATGTGCAAGAGTCGGGAAGCTATACAGCACCGCTTGCGATGCAAATTATTTGCCAAGCCTCCAGACTGAGGGCCTAATCAAGGACTCTGCATGCGCAAGAGCATCCATCCACCCAACCGAAAGGACGAGCCTCTCGGCGCAACTTGTCTGAGCCCTGGCAAAGGCCCGGCGACCAAGTTGACATGAGCTATCTCTACTGAGCTGTGAATGCAATCCGTGCCAAGAACAGTCGATGTGATGGACATCAAGGAAGAGGTGGATTCAATTCCTCCCAAGCGCCTTGCGCACAACCTGGATGTGACGCTCCTGTCAGTGCACATGTGTCGAACTTCGGTTCTTCTCATGCTCACAGATCTGACAGGAGCAACGAGGCCACCATGAACACTTGGGACCCAGGATTTGGTGGCCCTAATTAACAGCCAACTGTCTGCTCGCCTATCCAAATTCAAGCAAGGCTTAAGCAAACACACGAGTGTAGCTGCTCAGATCAGATGACCCTCGTTTTGGCCTCCCGTGCTGCGCATCAAACTACAATACTCTACGAAATGTACGAAACGCCGCCTGGGCAGTACCAACAAGAGTTGGGAAGCAGCGGAAGCCCCCACTACCATCGCAAGGTTCAGGATCCACCTGAGGCCCGCACCGAGTTGGCCACCACTGACTTTGGCAGCCACCGGGCAGCCTGGATTCAGTCATCACCCTACAAGCCTTGAAGCTCTAGGTGACGAAAGCGCGTCACAGGTCCGAGGAACGCCTTGGTCTAAGTGATGTAAAGAAGGAGAGCACTGGGGTAGCTGGGGCTGATCAATCTCCCTAAATACAATGTATACCGCCCATGCAATGTCTTCTCATGGTTGCTCCCTCCCGAAGTGGATTTGAATCTCGAAATCTGACAACTTCTTTCAGCCCCTCCATCCCCTACACTTCTCGCCAAGCGCCTGCTCCTCCAAGCAACCTGCCTCTCGTGATCTGTGTGCACTCCCGCATCCTAGAAAGCGGAACGCGCGAAACCTTACAGCCTTCATTCGTTCACACCTGGTTGAGAAGAGACCTGAGTATGGGGCTGAACGCATTCCTCGTATCCAAGGCATACAGGATCTGATATCAATCTCTCAGCTGGTGCCAAAAATCGCTGAACTTAACTTGCTGCTGGCTCAAATCTTTTCGGTATCATCCCTGCGCACCTCTTCACGCCAGTTGCCCCGCAGGGATGAAGGACAAACCTTTGCAAAATTGACGGTCAGGACTGCAGGTGTTGGTACAAGTTGGCTCCAGAGCAGAGGTTATTGCAAATCTTTGAATCCTGGCTGCAGCGACACGTCCGCTCTCCTGGACCCCAACACATCGCAGTGGCAGCGGCATTGCGTTTGCTAGGCTTTGGCGTCCATGAGACGGCTGCACTCGTGAGTGAGTTCAACAGCCGTGCCCAGCCGTATCACCACTCGAACAGAGGCCACGAAAACGGCACCCGAATCCGCGGGCGGAAAAATGAAAAGACGCCTTCCTCTAGCTCGGAACAAGCTTACGGCCAACATGCCTGGCTCGAAATCTTTTTAATGCTGTGCTTCGGCTTTTTGAGGCGCCCTGCGCCGAAGCCAGTCTAGGGTCGAGTCCTCCCATGTTTTTCATCTATCCTCCTCCCACATTGAATCAGTTCATGCGGAAAACGACTTGGATTGAGCCTCTTGCTCTCCCTCCCCAATTATACTGACTATCAAGAGTCCAACTGGTGCTCAGACAAGCAGCCACCAGCAACGGGAAGTCATCAGGGAACTGGTTGCACAATGTGAGGGCCTGAGCTGCAAGAGTGGTCCCCCATGTCCCTACAGCCGGGAATCACGATTTCTTTGTGGCTGCACCCCGTACCCCGCAACCTTTGCTCAAGATTTGCAATAACCGTCACGTGCAAGATGGATGACGAGAAGAAGCAACAGAGGAACCATGAGGACGGAGAGAGTCACAACATGTCTGGCCACAGCTGGGATCTGACTTATGCAAGCTGCCTGTGCCGTCTTCCCCAAGCCCATCTCATCTGCCAGAAGCACGCGCCCCCCACGGCGGAGCGCAAAGTTCACCTGGGATGGAGGTGAGGGCAGGCAGTTTGAATAGCGTTTTTGCACAGCCAATGTCAGAGCTGCCTCGGAGAACCAGATCTCAAATGCATCCGGGCGGGGCACCCGCAAGGTTCTGTCTGCAAATTCGAGTCTACATGTGCAAGTCTGGGGATAGATGTCTCCAACCAAGCCTCATTCCCAACTATCGGAGAAGTGCATTCCCTGTACTGGGTGCATCGAAAGGGCCGCCTCGCGCTGGTATGGGAGCACCTGGGCAGGTGGTTCTCAAAGGGAAGCTAGCAAACTCACCAAAGCGAGAATCCCGGAAGAAGACGTACATCAGAAGAAGTTGCTAAGGTGGAAATCACCGTTCTGTTCACATCCCAAGTCTAATCCAGGGACTTCCCACTGCTTTTACTCGGCACCCTGGCAGGCACTGCTTCCCTGATGCTTTCTGCAGCATTTCCTTGCTTTCGTAAGATCACCGACGGCGGCGAAAACGGTTCAGAAGGAAAAAAGCTCGGGTTCTGAAGCTGGGCTGAACGTTTCATGTTGATCTCTGGCTCCGCACCCTTCTGAGACGTGCCACTCATCGCAGGTTGATAGAAATTGCGCATTGCAAGGCAGGAAGAGTCACTTGTTCTTTCCAAGTAGAGGTAAGACCAAGTAATGCCATGATACTGAGGCTATTGCTTGTGATGGCCATCGCTCTCACAAGGATAGCTGTGGTAGGAGCAGGGAGAAATCATAACAGGTGCTGTCGTAGTACTCAGAGTCGCTTTAAATAGCACTACTGATGAAGACTGATTATGGCAACGAAGACAATACGACATCTCGAGGGTCCAGCGCAACATCCAACTGCATGCAGCAATGTCTGATTGCCTCATTGCCGTCAACACTCGCGGCAGTCTCAGGCAGCACCTTGCTGGCAATCAAACGCAAAATAATCGGCTTGAGCATACTTTGTCTGATCACCACCTAAATGCTGGACTCAAAGCTCCGAATTCTCTGTTGAACGAGTTATCCCCTATGCTGGAGTCCACAATTTGCAACATACAGATGCACAAGCCAATCTGCACCCTGGACCTGCGGCGCCTCGCCTTGCTTTGCAATAGCACAGAAGAGGAAGTTGAATTCAGCGAAACCGCATCCCTGGATCAAAATTGAGACTTCAGAATCCTGTGCTTGCCTTCCCCGTCACATCGGCAAGAAGAACATGGGCGACCTGCCAACACGAAATTTGGTTTGGACTGATATTTCTCTGTCCGCTCCGGGCTATCACACATGTTCTCTCGCAGTCCAGCAGGTGCCTAACCACAGCCCCATCTTTTGTAATGCTGGTTGCCAGCACGCGGCCTTTTTGCTCACACGTACTTTGCCAAAGCTACCTGAGCTGTGCGCTCAGATGCACTTGAAATCTCAATGGTTCTTGACAGCTCTTCGACAAGCTATGTCACCCTTCCCCCGCGCCTACACAGCTACAGCTACACGCCTTCAGAAATGCCGGGTGTGACAATGCAAGCATGAGGTTTGACTTGAACCCCAGCTCTCGGATTGGCACTTGCTGCTCCTAGCTGTCACAACAGCCAGCAAATCGTGTGATCAAATCCAACAGAGTCAAATTGCGGAAATTCGGCACTGTAGCGAGGACCTCGAGCTCCCAGGCAGAGCAAGAGCAGATGCACAGTGATCAGGTCTGAATGATGCTCCACTCGACATTGGCGACTACTTGCCTTTGACGATCGCATCCTTTGTAGCTACAAAGAAAAATTTCTGTCATGTTCACAACCATCACACGTATGTACTTAGGCGTAATGCTTGTAACACCTTTTGAAATTTGACGTATAGAGTATAAGTGGAAATATCTGTAGAAACCTAACACGCGCAACCTTGATTCAGTGCCTGCAGGCAACATGTTCGGCTTTCTCATGATCCCTGAGGCCTTCCGAACGGAATACCCATGGCTTTTTCGTTGCAACAGCGCTTTTAGCGACACCGGGCAGACGCTCTCAGCACGCAAGAAGCACCGGGCGCAAGAACGCGGACAGGCTACGGGCGCCGAGAAGACATGAAGCGCGTAGTAGTCATCGGGCTATGCGAGCAGACCACCTGTGTGGCCTTGTATGATGTTAGACCTACGTAGGCTCACTCCCATCCAAATCGCACAGCGCGCGTCTGCTCCAACCCAGGACTCTCCGCATTGAAGGCTGTATCAAATTGTTGCTGTTCAAGACGTTGCCATCTGAGCGTGGGCAACAACGCCGACGTCCAGATGTCTGGGCGACGGCCATCCCTCAGCAACCTCCTGATGCCTCTTGCGAAGGCTTGGAACACTGATGGCTGCAAAGACTACGCAGTGTCTCAAGTCTCGGCCTTCTGACCCTTCTGTCCGGGGAAATTATGAATACAAGTCCAGCACCTATCCCCTTGATCACTCAAGACTGTCGATGTGTACAGCGTAACAGCAACCAATTGCGGCTGCAGCACCCAGTTCGGAGGCAGCTGCACCTCCCAGTCATGGATGACAATGCGTTCATGTGCGGTGCAAGCCAAATTCTGGGCGGTCTTACAGGTCACCTGGCTCTTGTACCTAGGATTTGCCAAGGCTAAAGATATTTGGAAGAGGTCCTCAGCATCACCCTCCAGCCCTGCCTTTTCGGGGCCACATAGGTCCAACAACTGCTGCACCACCTTCTTGTACCTTAGCGAGGCTGCCACAGCTGGCCAGAGCTTCCAACTGCAGAAGAACAGTCAGGGATTACTTCGGCTTCGGCACAGAGATTAGGCCTATTCAAGGCTGTACCGGAGCCCATTCCCAAACAAGGGAACTGCATCTTCCATTAGTACTGCGCAAGCCTGTACATTTCCAAGAAGTGCCCCTCTCCTTCTCCAACCACTCCGTGCCTTGGGCCACGGAGGGGCTTGGCTTGGCCGAGCTACGACGCGGCATCAAATTGAAGCCTCGACTGGCCACACGATGTTCAACAACATTCCAAGCATGCGCAATGCTTCTGCTTTGCTGAGCGCCATGGCGTAGACATCTCAAGACTGCTTTCCCCTCATCATATGCATATGAGCAGCGGTCAGGAGTTCTTCTCTGGAACGTGGTCAAAATTCTCGTGCTATCTCGTGCTCGTTCTGCACTCTAACCCCGTCTCGTTTTACAACATGTTGGGACAAGCTTACATGATCCCTGTGAAGGACTGACTCTCTTTCCCACTCCATCCTAAAATCACAGATTACAAGCGCATTACAGACCCGTGTACCTCCTGTAATCCCCATCAACTGCCTGATCTGACAAACCTAATACTATCTTGTTCAATAGCACTTCCGCTGGGCCTTGAATCTCCTTTCGAACAAGTTGGCATTACACAAATTGGCATTACGTTGAAGCACATAAACACTGACCTTGCTATTTGGAGAGGCACAACGCATGCTTTCCGGTCATGTTAATGCGATCGGAAGGTGAGTCCGCCGCTCATGCGGCTCCTATGCACCCTGTGGGCGGCAAGGTACCCTGAGCATTGAAAAAAAACAAAACGCCCCAGATGATTCCCAACTGTGCAGCCAGGCAGCCTCTTCCCTGCTGAATTGGCACCTGGCCAGTGTCGCATTGCGGCGAAGACCTGCCCAGAAACTCAGGAACGTAGGTACGACAGCGATGTAGTAGCGCTTAGAGTCTTAGAGCCTTGTCGCCTTAAATCCTAGCTTTGCAGACTTGAGCGTGAGCTGCACCAGCACACGCTTTAATGCGCAGAAAACGTTCTGAACAGTAGTTCTGGTTGTCACGTCAAAGTATATGGCAAACGGTTCAGGCCCAGTCACCGCCAGGGATCCCGAGCTGACAGGTTCTAGCCATAGATCCTCCTTGCACCTGGAAGTCAAGAACCTCCGAAGTTTGCCTTTTTTCATTTGCTTGCATCCGGCGTTTTGCTGAAACCTGTGCCGAGCAGTTCTCAAACTCGGCTGCCTTGTGAGATAATGAGACAAGTAGATGATCACACATGTCCAGGGTGCCAATCGCATCCCAGCTGACAGCGGGCCACCAACAGTTGGTATTGTGTTCGAATTGACTACCCAAAAAATCTGAAAACTGGCCTGCAGTCCGGCAAAGGTTGAGTTGGGGGGGCTAGTGCCTTCGCAGGCAGCTTCTTCGACGTCCGCACTAAGAAGCCATCGCCTCAGGACCAGTACGCTACAAAGTGCGTGACATGACCAAATCAAACAAGGTTTTCTGAAAGCTCGCCAGCAACCATTCTTTGCAGCAGCTTGCAGGCGAGGCAGATTCTGCCATCTCCTCCTACCCAGCAGGATATGTGGTATACTCGTTTTAGTATCTACTCGCTGGGAATCCTCTTGGATTTAGAAGATCCCGATGTTCGCATCAGCAGCAAAATCCCAATATCCGCCGGTACGCTCCAAAGTAAACGGATCCTGGCTAAAACTGCCTAACAGAACTCGGAATCACAGACCACGACCGACTTGCAGAGGTATTTCCAACAATGTGTGCTTGCACAAGCGGCGTCCAAGCAGTTCGACCTGGTCTCAAGCTCATAAGATTTGGGAGGCTACCTTGCCGGCTAGGCAATTGCATGTGATTTCAATTACCCATCATCTCAGAGCAGCTCTCAAAACTCTGAGTTCAGGATGTCTGGAAGTCCGGCCTCGAAAGTGCCATCGAAGGCTTTCAAGGCTTCTTCCTTTGCAGAGTTTGCCAGAGACGTCCGTTGCCCAAGCTTGTCGGAAAATGCACGCTCCCTGCTTCACGCCTGCTACTCAAACGGACACCTGAACTTGGCGCAAGTCTGACTTGCCCTGCTTGAGGGATTGCGGTACAGTATCTAAGTGTGCCGAGCTGCAACTGCTTGGCGTTGCTGATGTGCCGAGTGTTGGCTCTGAGATCCTGGGCGGCAAACGCATGTTCGCATCGTGTGACCTTGAGCAGCTTAGGAAGTGCCCAGAGCAAAGCAAAGGTTTCCAGAACAAATCTAGGCTGCTCTGCAGCAGGTCCTGCTAGCTGTACTTAAGCTAGGCCAAGCGTGCAGGACCTGCGAGCTTTAGTCAAGCATCCTCTTGGCGACTGAGTCGTTCGTGGCAGTGGCGGCGGTTGCTGTGACTGCAATGGCTGCACCTGTGGCTGAGCAAATCGCGGCTGCGGCAGCACTGGCTGTGGCACCTGCTGCGGCTGCTGCACCGGCTGCTGCTGCCACGGCTGCTGGATCTGCTGTGGCTGGCGCTGCTGCTGCTGCTGCTGCTGCAAGTATGGCAGATGGGGGGACGCCGGCACTTGATGCTGTAGATGCTGGTGTTGCGGAGGCTGCAAGCGTTGCTGGTGTTGCGGCTGTTGCTGAGGTGGCAGCTGCTGCAACGAGCACCGTTGCTCTGGCGGCTGCAAGTACTGGTGATGAAATTGCTGCGGCTGATGCAAGGGCTGCGGGCGCTGCTCCGTCTGACAGTGCTGCTGCTGCAAAGCCATCAGCTGTTGCGGCTGCCCGGATTGAGGTTGATGGTGATGAAATGGCAGCGGCTGCAACGACTGCGATGGAATTTGTTGCTGTTGTGCTAGCTGGGCATAAGGATTATGCTGTTGCTGCTGCTGCGGTGGCCGCTGCAGCATGAGGGCGGGGTGGAAAGATGTTTCGGGCATTTGCTGCGAATGCAGCGAGGACTGGAAGTTGGACGTGTGCTGTGGGGGAGGAAGCTGCGAAACTCCTGAAAATTGCTGCGGGCGCATTTCGCACGCTGCGGGAGCTGGGGTCTGCTGCCCATGCATTTCCTGCACTGGACGTTCTGGAACAAAAAAACTCTGTTGTGGTGGCCATGCTTGGCCACCTGTGGGCGTAGCTGGTGGCACAGCGGCTGGAGCGGCGCAAAGCTGCGGTGGGGGCTCAGCTCGCCGAGGCTCTCCCGACGGCCTGTACAAGTTGGATAAGTTACGCTTGCCTCGTGAGCCCTCTTCATTGGCCAAAATCAGCGCCAAACAACAACGCATGGAAAAAGAACAAGGGTCATCACCAGGCCTGAAGTATTGCGACCCACGCACAGGCGACGGCCTCGGGCGAAGCCAGAATTAGTTCTGCAATGGCTGAGAAAGATTCTTGATGTCGTTCTTGGCCAGAACATCTGCAGAGAACTAGGTATAGAGATTGGCCCTCAGCTGGGTCCACCTGCTACCGTAGACCAGTGGCACGTGATTCTCTTCCATCTGTAGACTACTCTGAGTCAGTACTGCCTGGGGACCCTGAAGCGAAGCCTCCTTCCTCCAGAGGATTTAAGTGTTTAGAGTTTAGGTGAGGCCATGGTCACAAGGCGCCTTTGACGGGTGCCTTGCCCTGGTACCGTACGTATACAATCGACAAAACAGCCTGTTGCAGGAAGGTTGAAGACAAGGCAGGGCATCTTCAGTGTTACCGCCTGTTGGGGAAGGCAGCCAGTCCGAGTCCCAGGCTGCGGCTGAAATGTAAATCCTTGGCTTCATGCACGGAAATGTCAACGCAGGAAGTTTGCACAGGCATCCCAAAAGTGGCACTTGGAGAGTTCACCTGCGCATGAGATGCAGCTGGATCTGCTTCAAACGCCAAGGGCAGGGAATGTGCAGCTGCCTGAAATCGTGCATTGACGACTGTCTTTTGACGAGGCTCCATCCAAAGACGCAGACAGGGCACCAGGCGCGGGGAAGGCACCCTGGTGGATTTGTTCAGGGATCCTTCAACAATCCATGCACTCACAAAGAAAGACTTCAAAGTAGGCTTCCAATCTTTGGCTACGGTTGCCACAGGGCACATGAAGCTGCTATTACGACCCGTATGATGATGAGCCCAACCTTTCTCAAGCTGGCGTTTGCGAAGCAAAGCAAACAAAAACATTCATGTCCTTCTGAGTGGTTGATGAAATTCTTCTATTGCCACGAAACTGGCATGCATCTCAGACCAACTCAAAGCACAATCCTAAAGTCACCCATGAACTCTGGAAGCAAGACCCCACGGCATGTCAAGAGCCCGAGCTCTGGGCCTGAGAGTCAGAGCTTGTCAAGCTATCTTCCGCCGAGACTTTGGCCTCAAAATGGCTGAGGTGGAGAGGGGCCGATAAAAGCATTTGACATTAGCAAGTCGAGCAAGAGTAAAACTAGGATAAAAATTACAAGTAGCAGAAAGAGTTAGGTTGATCAAAATTGGAGGTGACAGCATTGGTTGGTGCTGGCGGCGCGGATAGCGGTGGCGGTGGCGGTGGCGGCAGCAGCAGGAGCAGCGACGGGAGCAGCGATGGGAGCAGCAGCAGCAGCAGCAGAGAAGGAAGAATACTTTCACAACTATAATCTTAAATTGGATGCTCATCAGGCGAAAGCCATGTTTGCTTGCTGGCCTTGGCAAATGTGATGAAATGGCTTGGACAATGCTGTGACACATTTAACTGCAGTGCAACTCAGGATGGCACAACGGAAGTCTTCTGCTTCTTTGGGGCTGGGGCAACAACAGCGCCCTGATCCTCCGATTGACGTTCCCATCTGTGGGTTGTTGAATCTGACGCCTCTAATACTTTCCTGATTCGACCAAAGGCAGGGAAGCTGTGACTTTACGAAGTGGGAGGGCCGCAGCAAGTTTCTTGAGGTCCTCTCGTTCCGCAGCTTACTACTGGAACCTTTGGACATTGGACGTTTGAGTGTAGAGTAAATGCTGACTGCGGCTGAAGGGACTTGGGGTGTGGACTTGTGATGGAGCGGCTTGCTGCGGATACATCCAGTCAGCCCTCAGGGGCCTGCCTGGAACTCACGATCTTGCTCAAAAGCATGTTTAGATAACAACGCCCATAAGGCGCATGATATCAAGCATACTAGCAACTTCTGAATTTCAATTCGCTGCACCAATACTGTAGCCCCCTTAGACCTGTGATTAAAAACAGTATCTTTAATAATTCCTTAAGGTTATACTCTAATGCAATTTAAAATTTGAAGCTAATTCCTAAGGAGACTAAAGAATAGCCTAATCTCGCTGGACTTGAGGCAGCTCTGCCGGGTGCAATCGAAGTCGGCCAGTCCTCTGCATACTGGACGAAGCGTCGCATGCCCAAACTTGCCTCTGGCCTTACATCGGTGGCCAAAAAACAATTAAACAGAAGTTTATGACACCAGGACACCAGGATCTTTAGGTCGTAGGGACACCCCCGAACAAATGTCAGACTTGTTGGAGACTATTGGGATCATGCGCCGTAAGCCCGCAAGCCTAAAAAATCATCCAACAAATGCTATGGGCTTCTCCAAAAAAAATTGCCTCTTGACAAATCTCCAGCGTTGAGTAGCAAGCAGCCGAGATTGCGGCAAGAAACGGGAGCATTATACCACACAGGCCCCTGCATACAGGCCACCAAGTCCCATTTCACCCAATCGTTACGTGTACGAAACCCTCTCGTCACGCCCCAATCCTTTTGAACACACGCCATTAGGCAAGAAGTTCGCTGCCCGCCAGCCTTTGCCTGAGGAGGGAGAAGACAGCTCCCTTGTGGCTAGTTCCGGTCCACTTGTCGACCCCCGAAATAAGATGGGCCGTACCTTCAGATGAAAGGAGGGGAATTCTGAGCAACGCCCTTGTAAAGAGATTTACATCTCTGACGAGACACAGGCCGTACGATGGCTTCTAGACAAAGCAGTCTGCTACCCTGAAGAGGCTCCCCTTGTAAGTACTGAGGAGGTTAATGCCAGGTAATCCCCGCAGTAGCCGTGACAGGATGTCTGGACCCTCAAAAGCTTCAGAAGTCAAGTTCATTTGTTTGAAGAATCGGAGTAACTGGAAGCTGAAAACCAGGCGGAGGCACCTGCTGACCACATAACTGCCTGAGGATACTTGCTTAGGCCTTCAGACCCTAAATGAGATGTTGGTTTCCCTGCTATGAACCATCTCCTCAGCCAAGAAATGGCTCTTTGATGGCCATGGCCCCGGGAAGCAGAACAACGCAGAACTGTGGAACGGACGAGTCCAGTAATTGTACTGTCCATGTTCTGCGCCTTCAGCCTTCCTCTCTGGAGTCCAGCTAAAGAGGCAAGGCCAGCAAAACTCTCATTCAATTACATGCCATACCCTTTGCCACTTTGCTAACCACTTGCCTCCGCACATTATGTGCACTCAGCCATCATGCTACAAAGAAAATCGTCTTCTGTCGCAAGCAGCTGGCAGAAAGAAAACAGCTTTGACACGCTGCTTTAGGTCCTGTTAGGTGCAGAGTCCACGGTTCAGCTCAGCACTTGCTACTTGCCGTTTTGCAAGCTGCAACAAATGCTGCAAATGCCAGTAGGCCGTATCTTGGACAAGCCCACATCGAAGAATATTGGTGTGGCAAGGCCAGTTGCCATCAGATCAGCCCGACATACTTTCATGCGGAGGGCCCGATTCCCCGGTCAACTGCCTTTTAAGCTCGAAAAAAAGACATGACTTCTAGGACTGCAGTGGCACCGTATCGCGACAGCGGCAATGCCCAGCCCTGCTGGCAACATGAGGCCTCCTGCACACCTATAAATTTGTGGGTGTGAATTCCAGTTCTGCGAGTAGCATACCAAAGATACTTTGAGATCTCAATTTGCAAGATGCAGATGGTGGCAAAACAAGACCGGTGGTCAAAGCAGAGTGGACAGGCTGTGCAGAACTGGATTTCATATGTAAGGCTGTTCTGGAGAACCTGTCTTACAGTCTTATAGTGCTGCTTTGCCAAGGCCTTGAAAACGCTCTCGGCCCCTTTGGGTGCCGATCAGAACATGTTCAAGGGAACTTGACTGATAGCCCGCAGCAGGAACTCATTTAAACAGTTGCTCATCCCGATTCTTTCAAAGAAAAGCCTAGCTTTCCCTCGTTGCTCTCCGCCAACTTGGCCTGACTCACGACCAGATGAGCAACGAAGTCACACCCTCGAGGGGAGTTTGCTGCAGGGCTTCTCCATGTTCTCAGCCCTCCTCCAGGGAGGAGGCTGCGCGCAGTGCAGGCACTGGCGGGAAAATGTGGGTGAGACTGCGCTGAAGAAAGCTCACAGTGGTCAACTGAGAGCCTCCTGAAGAGGCTATCGTCAGCAGAACTGCAAGGATGGGTCTCCTCGACCTGGCATGAAATTCCGTTGTACAAAAGTGCAGGGTAGACACACATCCCAACTTCTTAAGACCAATATTGCTCAACTTGACCTACGCGCCTCATCCTGATTCTGATCGAGAAAGCAGTGCAAGCGTGGCAGCTGCCTGGGGAGCCAAGAATTTTCTTTTTGAAGCTACGGTCCGTGAAGGTCCATGGCTGCCCTGGATACTTTTCTTCAGCCGAGCTTCCAGGTAGTACCCCATCTTTTGCACATTGAAGGCGTTCACACGGACGCCTTTCATGTAGAAGCCGGCGTGGCTCTGAATGATGTACTGGACCTGGGCGCTATAAGCATCAAAGCCGAAAGCCGCTGGAGTAGTTGGATTGGTCGAAAGCAATCAAGCAGCCACATATTGCCGGTCGGTGTCCATCCAAAGCCTGAGTCCGGGCCAACATGCTACAGACCATAGCTTCTGAGCGCGAAACCGGCACAGCAGTCGACACCTTCAACCGACGGCTTGCTACGGCAAACGTGTCAGAAACCACAAATCAGATGTCCCCTGCAACAGATCATTTGGCAGGGCTTGGACGTCAGATACCTTCCCCTGGCTGCCCTCTCTACTGTAGCCCCATTATAGTAGTTTTAGCCCTATATAACCCCAATACACTATATAGTAGGGAGTTCTGCAAATTTAGCAGGATGCCTGCACTTACGGGAGCACTCTCAGGCAGATCCAGGCTTCACCAGGGTCCTCACATATGTCCTGAATCCATACTTGGCATACCTCTTCATGCTGAGATACGTGGCAGTATCATCTGCATCTGTGTCCTGTGCAGCACTTGGGCGACTGGCCCTTGCCGACTTAACATGCGCAAGGGACCCTCATCATCATGTAGCCGTGGCGGATCTAACAAAAGAGTCATGGCGAAGGCGATTCCCGCTCAAACACAAAACTGCAGAATTACACACTCTCACGATTGTGCCCTGTTTGTTCAGTGAAAGCTCCAAGAGGTTGCCTGGTCATTTGGTAATGCTTTGGAAACTGGCAGTAGCCAGCAAGACACAAGTACGCCTTTGGCTACTCCAAGGTGACGCTTCCTTACTTGGTCACATTTGCCGCAATCGTCTGGCGGAACACCCAAACCATGCAACTCAGCCCTCCACCTGAAAGACGAGACTCTGCGACACCTCAGATCCTTAACTCCACATCCCTAAAACTTTTACCTGAAAGCTCTGCAGAACCAGCCCACATGATGCCAACGCATTGCTACTAAATCTGAAAGCTGCTAGAATTTCCGGCTGAAACACAAGCAAATCCCCAACAGGATGAGTCCCAAGCCTGGAACTTCCAGGAGTTTACGAGCGGCGCCACTCGGCTTGCCTTCTCGGAGACTGCTGCAGCTCTGAGTAGGGCCTCAGATGGTGGTGGAGGGCTTGGGGCTTAGTTTGGATGCGCAGTTTACTGTTCAGGGCTTGGGCTCCAAAAGGGGCGGGCGATGAGATGTTGGGAAATCGTCAATTGTTTCGTTGCATGTTTGATCGAAAAAGATTCGTGTTGGTCCTCATATAAGCTCATGCAGAACTATTGCTGCTTGCTCTAAGTGTGGCTGTTGCTGCCTCCTTTTGCTGCGACTGCGCCTTCTGCTGCTACAGTGTCCACTACCACTACTACAACGACGACCAATCACCAATATCACTACAGTTATTTTGACGATAGTTGGAATTACTTTTGCGTACCGTGGGCTTTACAGTATTGTGCACAGTGCATTTAGGAGCTTGCTCCATTTAACATGTTCACATTGGCCTCGCCTGATCATGCATTTGGGTGCTTGATCCCACTGCTGTCAGAACCTTACTGGTGGCAAGGAGGCACTAGAGGATTGGATCCCCATATAGGGTAAAGTCTTAGAGTCACTGTCCAATCCCGTATAGTCATCACCATCTGATGCTGTTTCTTTCGCTGTTAACTTCGAAAGTCTCACGATGGTCGGGTGAGTGTTACGGGCCTCATGTGAATAAGATTCACATAGAAGCAACATCGTGCAGCATTACACCCCTCAGGGCTGAACAATCTGCCAAGATCCCAAATCTTCAGCAACACGCGTCCCTCCGTTGAGCCTCCACCATCGGCCCTAGTGCCATAGCAAGCAGGGCAAGGCGCGTAAAGAAGAAGAATGAAGGGCGGATAGAGCCTCCCGAAGTGCTGGCGCTCTGTGCCATGCTATTCAGAGACAGACCGCTTGGAGGGCTGTCAAGCTTGATGTTTGGGATGTCAAGAGCTTTTCTGAGTGAATGTTTCAAGCCATCACAAACTTTTGTGCACTTCCATCATATTACAATCAAGAAGTTGCAAGTCATGGTCATGCAAGAAAAATCTGAATATACGGGTACAGATCTGCTGGTTCTTGGTCGTCCCGTACTGGTACATCTGGGATTTCTCTCGTCCTTGCAATTGCCTGTCTGCAGAGCTTTCCTTCACACAAACCTGGTATGCAAAAATCGTGGTGTTAAGCGGCGACCGCGAACTGTGGACTGCAAGCATTAGATCAGAACTCTAGTGACAGGTTCTAAAAATCACCCTAAGCCCTCAACCCTACACCGTGGTTGTGGTCCTCGTGGAGACCAGTAGCCCTGAGCTTTATAAAGTAGCAGCCATGCCAACAAGCGTCGTCATGACCAAGTGTAGTTGAAGTTCTTGTGCTACAGCAAGAAAACCATACCATGACTAAGCTAGTTGTTGACCATCATGGGACTACAACTGCAACCCTCAAAGCCCTTGATGCCATGAATTTCAGCTATCTAAACCCTCATTCTTAAACCCTTGTCTTCATGTACCGTCTTCTCCAAGGTACCAGCCAATCCACAGCGCACTGCGGACGCCCAGCCGTAGAAGCACCTGAAGCTCTCCAGTCTTGGACTGCACAGCTCTCGTCACAAGGCTATGTTGCAAACTTCTATACATGTATACATGCATGTAAGGAGGAATCACAAACGATTTAGGCTTGAGGGGCATATGCGCTGCTCGCCTCA